AAATCGCAAAACGCAGCCGCGAGATCGCAACATTGCTGCGAACGCGCAATCGCGGCCTCACGTTTTGCAACATTGTTGGCTATGCGGCGAGCACTTGCCTCACAGAATTTTCGCGAATTGTGAGGCACTTGATCTTTCGAGCACAACAATGTTGCGAAACGTGAGGCCGCGATCGCGCGTTTGCAGCAATGTTGCATCCTCACGAAATGTTAAAATTCTGCAAAGCACTGGTTCTCTGGCTACTTACCTTTCTTTATTTACTTACCTCTGCTCGAATTAGTGTCTGTAAATTTTTTTTTTTTTTTTTTTAACGTGGGGAAATCTTGCATAAGACCCCCCACCGACCCCTGGGGGAGGGCGGCGGGGGAGTGTCAGATTCCTACTGACTAAAACCCCACGGCGACCGACACTGGCGCTATGGCCTTCGCCTTGGGCTCTGGGACCTTATCTGTATTATTCCGGAGCCCTCCACCCTTGGCACATTGGTGCCCATCTGGGGTGCCTAGCACGTGACCGACACCGGGGGTCGCACCCGGTGCCGGCTTTTACTTGGGCCGCGTCCAAAGGCGCCTGGAGCCCCCACTCCAGACGCCATGTACCCTGATGGCTCCACCGATTTTGGCGGTGAAGCCTTTATATCTAGTGTTGAAAGAAGGGCTGAATCAACCTCTCCTTGCTGCTTCTCTTGTTGCTATAATATAGCAAGGCTGAGTTCGAGACACTGATTGACAATGAGTAATGGGGTGTAGTGTTTTTGATATCGAAGCAATCTGCTATTACCATCAAAGTGCATTAGACTGTTGTAGTGCGAAGTATTTCTTATTTTTATATTAGGAAAGAACAGATGGCGTTCGTTCTCAAGGCACAAATTCAAAACCCCTTGAAAACAAAGGCATATCTAGTCTTGTTGGATCTGTAGTCACTGCTGTCTACATAATTGACCAACAAAAAAAGGCATCGTAAAAAAATAATGTCGAGCACGAATGAAAGTGAAATTAGTGAGCGGTGGTAGATAGTTCTTCATTCGTTTTCTTCTCACCTGGGCGTTGTCTCCTGGAGAACGAATATCACTTTCAATTTCAATTCGCTATCATGGGTGACAGTTCCATGAGGTTAGGTGAGTCGGTAATCGATCCGTTTGCAGCTGTTCAATTCCGCAAACATGTTCTTTTTGCTAACATCTGTTATGTTATATATTCAGAGAACTATGAAGTGCTTAAAGCTCTCTATGACTTCAAAGCCACGTTTGCAAAAACCCTTAGCTTTCAGGAGGGTGATTATTTCATTCTGTATCAAACTAATACCAAGCAGAGGAATTGGTGGCAAGTTGTCAATAGGGATGGCCAAATTGGATACATTCCCTCCAATTATGTCACCACTGTGAAGGTAAATTAAGTAACATTCAATAAATAATCATGGATTTTATGGGATCAAATGATTTATAGGTTTCATCTCAAGTATTGATTGAATTTTTGGAAGACTGCATTGCAAATGTGAAGACAGAAACTAAGAAACAAAGTGGATTACACTTGGATAAGCAAGATCTTCTTCTGAGATTAATTGAAAAGAAAAGACGAGCAGAGTTACATAAGAAACCTAAGAAGCATGCTCCGATGCCTCCAGATTTTGGAAATGTTACACCTAGTAGAGAAGTGTCTTCATCACCTGTTTGTAATATACAAGAAGCAGATGTGAACCCTGCTCAGAGCAACACATCTTACATGACAGCACAGACTACATTACACACTAATGTAGAGAAGGAAGAAACACCAGTTGTTCCACAATGTCAGCATAGTTCTATAAGCGAACAGAGAAAACAATCTCTTCCGCATCAGTCTTCGTCTGACACACAAAAAATTCAGAAAAGTCCTTCTCAGGGTAGCATCAGACAGACCCCTACCAGTTCCCCTGCAAAAAAGAAGGCTTCGTTATGTGATATTAATTCTCATACAGCTTATCAGTTACTTGACCAAGTACGTAGAAATACTCAGTTAAGCTATGAAATGTCTAAAGTAGCAGTCACAGTGGTTGTTTCTGGACTGCAACAATTGTTGCCACCAAACGTGAGCCATTACTTTGACGCGCTATTGCACCAATTGGAAACACCGTTTACAGTGTCTCAAATGAGTATAGAGGAAACATACGATGCTAACAGATTGAAAATAATTTTTACAGAGCTTACTTCTTGTAAAGAAGATTCTCAACAAAGAAACTGGATGCTTTATGAAGATGAATCTATTATTGTTGATTATATAAAGGAGCTTACTTCTATATTGGTATACATTATATTAGACAAACGAATTGTTTAATATTTAAGTAACTTACATGATTTATTAACATTGTAGACCAATGCAGATGCAAACGTATCTAGGTATGTTCTGCAACAGGATCAGTATAACGGGGTTAATATATTAATACAGTATTATCAAATGGAGCCAAGGTGGACTATCAGGCAATTACTCTTACAGTCATTCGGAGTGATGTGTAGCCTGGATTCTGTGATTTTGACTATAATGTTAAACAGTATATTGCCTATGGAACTAGCAAGGTAATATTAAGTAAATTCTATCGTTAGATTGTACAAATATGTAACAGTTTAAAATGTGTCTTTCAATAGAGACATGAGGAGTAATCCTAGAAACGTGACGAAATTAAATTATTCCTCGTTATTACTTACTATGATTTTCTCAATGGGTGAACCTATGCCAGTTACGCATTTGGGTGAGTAAAGTAGGTAAATGCATTGTGTTTGTTGCATTAGCCTGCAACGCCTTTTTCGCCTGCTACATATAAATATTTATTGTCAATTCTGTTACAGAGCAACTGGGTCCGGATTTTATAGCATTTGTTCTGGATTTGATAGAGAATCCACCAGACATGGATTTGGAAGATCAAATCCCAGACCTGTTCGTGAATTTAATATTGTCTTACAATTTACAATTCACAAACTCGGAGAACATAGTGCTGAATGCATTGAAGGAGAGAACAGTTGCAAAGAATTTCACTGAAAAAATCTTGCTACTGTTTAACAGGGAAGGTAGGATATTTGAAAAAGCGATGCATAAAATTAAGTTCCTAGTAAACGTGGTTTGTTACAGAGGATCCTGTACGAATATTCGATCATCAACCACCACCACCGCATTCTGTTCTAAAGCTATTTATTGACTTGTTCAGCAATGATGTTACTGCAGGTCTCTTCTATACCAATGACGTGAAAGTTCTAATTGATATTATACTGCGTCAGTTGTATGACATGTTCCCCGGCGATAAGGTATTGAAACATAATAAAAATTTGTATTGTCCGTCACGTATGATTATAGGATAATCGTTAATTTTACAGCGCAGACAATATTTAGAATTATGCCGGAGAGTACTTCGTACTTCTAGTTACAATGAACACAGATATCGTTCAGAAGATTTGTTGAAATGCTTTACAAGGTTTGTATTAATTATAAAATATAATATTTTGTATTGTTACGATAAAATGAAATTAATCGCAGGATATTCTGCGAGGAGACTGGGGAAAGTCAGGAAGATCAACAGTCGGTACGCGAGATTAGCAATGAATTTCCGCATTTATTTAAGATCTGACATTTACTTTCGTCCTCCGACGATAAAGAATTGGAGGATGACGACTTGCAGACTCTTGTGTAAGAAGACTTTACGCAATGACGAGAAGTGGCGAGGTATCAGGTTACCGATCAAAAAAATCTTCTTTATTTTTCTATCCTCTATTTTGCATATATATTTTGCTCAGCTAACGTAATTACCAAGAACGCACACGCGATTCGCAGAATTTTAAGCGCATCAGATTCTATTTTTCCCATTTTAATCTTTCGAGCAAACGATACTACTTATTCTAGATAAAAAAAACATAATGCAAAAAGAACAAAAACAATAAATAGATCAGTATTTGAAAATTATTGTACATATAAAGGAGAAACTTTTATTCTCGTTCTAAGCATGAGGACCATCGGAGTATATAGAATCATTCCAAGTACCCTAACTTAGATAAATGAATTAGTGTAATGAAATAAAGTAGTCTGACTGCACGGATAAACATTCTGATATTATATTAATGACTAATTGGAGCACGTAGCAAGATTTAATCTCTATAAAAAGTTCTTTATGAAAATTCTTCGTTCGGAGAAAAAATGAAGAATTTAGTTTTAATCAAATCAATTAATGGTCTCTCTGTAAACTATTATAATAGTCTAGTCCACGTTTGTGCGTGTCCGAATAGTGTTCTAAGTCATACGTTATTTCTTAATTTATATTAAATTTTTTCTTGTGAATGATATATAATTAGTATACGATTTTGAAAGAAATTAACTATTCGTTTTGCAAGTTGTTGCGATCAAGGCGCAGAATGTTTAAAATTGTCGTGACGAAGTTTCAAAGTTTATTAGTGCCACTAATATTATAGTTATCAAACTTTCTAGTCTATTGCTAGCAACTCTATTTTTTTAAGAATATTACACTGCGTTACGTTTTCGACTATTAACGTGTCAATTACAGAGAAATCTCAAATTATTGTGATTATAAATCAAATGTTAAAAAAAAAAAATAAAAAGTCTAGCAGAACAGACATACTTGCATTGTTATTTGTTCTGATTAAAAAACGAACGATTAAAGGTACCTTTTAACATAAAGATATAAATGCAACGATATTTTCGGTGGTGTTTTATTAATAACAAATAAATACTGTCCATGAAAAACTTAGCAGGCGTGTTGCAAATATGTTTATCGAACCTGTGACTCGTTATTTTTATAATTAATACGATTATAGTAATTACGACTTGTATACAAGATTACAATTAATTTGTGACACTCTTTTAAAAAAGAGAAAGAGATATAAATCTGCTGCGAGGCGAGGCCGAAGCCATTTCGAAGCTGTTCAAAGATCCGACGAGCTTGCCCCTGAACAATTCACAGAGACGCGTCATCGTGTTAACTGACGAACCTCCTACGCTTTTTATACACCCAACCTGGTGCATTGCTTTTTTTTTTAATTTTTCTTTAGAAACACGCGGATAAAATTAGTTGAAAGTAACGTGACCGTCGCACATATTGTCTTTGAATCGAGCAAAACACTGGCACGTACGGGCGTTTATTCTCCGGTCATCATCTCCATGAATTCTGAAACAGAATTAATTGAACATTAATTACTACTCTGGACCTTAGACTCTTTCTAGGTTCCATATGTACACTGGGATCTTCCTAGATTTACCAAGGACCCTCTAAAGATCAAAAGTAAATTGTAGAAGGTTTATCCTTCTACTTAAACCACCAGAAGCCCATGTTACATCGAAGTGTCCGCTTTGGACCTAGGAAGAGTTTGTCATAGAACATCTAAGGAGAGCCTAAGTAGCAACTCGTTGAACAGAGGCATCAGGGAAGTATTAACAAGTAGTCTGTCAGTTTACTCTTGAGTCTTCCAAGATAAACAGGGGAGAATAATTATATCATGCGTCCGACTTATTATTTACAAGTCCTCCTATTTTGCTGTGATTGGCAACGATACACGAGGTAGTAAATTATCATTGATAAAACATGGAGCAATTTGCAGGTTGTTCGATGTCCAGGCGGACGAGGAAGAGGAGGAGATATGCCAAGATTTGTGTATCGAAGTTGGAACGAGATGCGGGTGAAGTTGGTTGCGTAACCCGAAGTCGTTAGAAAGTGGAAACTTCGACCATTTGCACAATTTAATCATGCCGATGTTTGGACCCGGATAAATATTTTTCTATACTGGAAACGTTATCAATCTTTTGGCAGAAAGAATTGCCAACAGGTGTTATGATCAAGATTTTCATTACCATCAAAGTCAACGGTGCCAGATCCATCGGAGTCGATCTCCTCAATCATGATATCCAATTCCTCGTCGGTCAGTTGATCATCCAGTTCTCTCAAGATTTCACGCAAGCATGTAGTTGGTATGTAGCCATTTCCTATGGAGCAAGTGCGTTTAAATAAAATTCCTAATTATCTCTTTTGTGAATATAATAATTATTTGAATATTTTTTTAGGTGGGCTTGATGAGTATCCCCATCATACCCATGGGAAAGCCATGCGAGAGTTACATATACACAAAGATATATGTAATCTCAACTAATGGACTCTAAATTCTACGCTATAGAACGTACTACAAGCTTATTATACCGTGTCAGTTTTGAAAGGGTCACGTAACATGATTAATCGATGCCCATTGGGCGAGGGAGGAAAATGATCGTCGCGAGGAAAGGCACGACCAAAAGTCTTTTGCTCGATCATAATTCATGGAGGCATCGGTGACGAAATGGCTGGCCGATTTTTGGCCGTCAGCCCAGCCATGCTCTTTGTGGCGCGAGAATTCCTTCGGTTCGCTCGGCTTTCATTCCCATGCGAAACGAGCTGCTTTTACGCGGCTGATTCGCGGAACCAGCTATTCTCGGCCAGCCGATACATATATATTTTCTTTACTCTTGTTTCGTCTTAATTTTTTCTCTCCAGTTTCAGCTGGAGCTGGTGCACCACAATAGCTTAACTACTGTTTATTAACGTCATCGGTGTGCAACAATCCATGTTCAATGTTGCTGAAGTAAGGATAGAATATAGGAGAAGATTTGTAGAAATTAAATTTTATACCTTCTTTGTCGTAGAGCCTGAAAGCTTCTCGAAGTTCCTTCTCCAATGCTTCCGCATCCTCTTCGACGATGAATTTAGCAGCCAATGTGACGAACTCTTCGAATTCGAGGCGTCCTGATTCTAGAAATTGATAACAATTTGGTAAGCTTAAATTATATTCATTGAGAGAAATGGTAATATGTAGTTGCTCGTTTCAGGCGCGGCTGACTAATGCCTGACCTGTTCTACTTACTGTCCGCGTCGACTTCCTCGATCAGCTCATCCAGGATCTTCTTGTTGAACGGTTGACCCATTAATCTTAGGATGTCGGCCACCATGTCGGTGGGAATACTGCCACTCTTCTCCCTGTCGAAGCTGTCGAACGCTTTGCGAAGGACTAAAACAAGATCCAAATATTTATCGTTCAACTAACGTAATTATTCGATTAAACGAAATTAGTCACATCGGTAAGAAAAGAAAGACGCGTCTTTCGCGTTTAAAGACCGTCCGCGATGCGATACAAATTTAGAATCCGATGTTAATGCCCTTCCGCACCCTCGCGATTCTGGCTCGAAGCTTATTTGGCTCGGCGCAACATCGTTCACACTGGTTGGAACGTTTATTTATCGTTGTCGACCGACCGACGATTCTCGCGATGAAACTTTACGGTAATTTATTGGATAATTTGTTTAGTATCTTTGGAAAAAGCTAACAAAAGGTTTCTCTTTTATTCTTTCATTCGTTGTTTCGCAACATTCATATGTAATTATTTGTACTAGTTTCATGAATTTTCCTTGTCATCGAACCAAATGCAACGTTTCAAAAATACTCTACTGTTATTAATATCATTATTGTGGTTTCGGCAATATGTCCTTACGCACATTAACAACAATAATAATAATAATAATAATATTGATTGAATAACGCGTATCCACGTCGTCCACTATAGTAACGCCAATGTATTATCTTGAAGCTTTCTTTTCTCTTTTTCAGACGCGATAAGACAAGTGTCTTCGTTTCGAAACGATGGGTCGAACGTTGTGCGAAAAATTTAATGTGGGATGTTACGAGCTTCTATTTTTCGATCGTCGTCGTATCGTTTCCCGCTGGAGAATCCTTCCTCTATTTTTACCGATCCGATTCCCGGTGATCGAATCGTCACGCGATACCTCCTCATCATACGGCTAAGACGGTTCTGTAGCTATACATAGGCAGCTGGCTGCCCTCGATCGAATGGAAGCACAAATAAACTCCGAGAGAGCGTGGCTTCTATGGGCGCAGATAACTTATCTGCCCTGTTTCTTTTTCCCCGCTACGTTTTAATTTCTTCACCCAAACCCCTACCATGATGGAACACCCAGCAAAATTCTTTTCATTTAGAGGTATAGGTACTGGTATTATAAACATTGTTAATACATCCGTGTCGACATTTAAAAATACATGTAAAAGAAATTTTGGTTACAGAAGATTAAACGAGATTCTGGCGATTCGACACCGCTGACGAAAGGGTTAGGAAGCCGAAAGGGAAACGACGAAACTGAGAGCTGGACTAAATTTAGTTGCGTCCAGTAAACACGATACGATTTCAACGTCGACGATTTGAAAGACCGGAAAGCCAAGAATGGCAAGGAGAGGAGCTCGTACTACTACATCCTGTTAAAACAGTCGTCTCTGTTCGTTACATCTTGGAGAACTTTAATTTTATTTTATGCCTAACAAAAAGAAGAATTATAGTACAAAAACATAGCGACTATCCGAGTGTTAAAATTGAATTTTCATACGTTTACATATGTCGATTTGTTAATTATATGAAATGTATTGATCAGATATTGTTAGTTAACATCCATGAATCGGTGTTCAGTTACTGACGATTACGTACCAGCAATTTGTTCAGGGGGAAGTTCGTCGGCCTGTAAACACAAAACAATATTGACATCGTCGAGACATTTAATTAACAAATGAACATCGACTTTAAATAATCCGAGAATCTTAAAAAAAAAAAAAACATTCCGTTCAACGAGCAGTTACGAATTATGAATTAATTTGAAAGAGAATCTAATTGTAAGGAACTTGTTCGCTAATAAACGTGCATTGTTAACCAGTAACTGCGTGCATATTTCCTTATTTTTATCTTTGTTATTGAATTAAGTGCAGAAACTTGCAGGTGAGATCGAATTTCAACGAGCTGTCCCGAGTTTAGCGTCCCTTGGAACTGAATAAACCCAGAAAAAGTAGAAAAAGTCCGCGATTAGTCAGACATTCAAGCCTCTCATCTTATCGACTCAGATGTTTTCTGTTTTCAAATATCTTTCTATCTTTTCAATCGAATCATTTACATAACATCGAACATTACAGTGTATTTTGTTAATTAATGGTAAGAAAAGAGGCTTGATCAAGTTCGCCATCTAAGAAACAATCACGTTTCCAGGACCTCGCATTCTCTGGAACAATACACATGTTAAACTATAACCGCTATTGTTGTTATTGAGAGAAGAAAAAATTATAAAAGAAAGTCACAGGCGAGAAATAATAAGTGAAGAGAAAAGAGAACAGTGGATACAAGCATTCCACTACAGGGAGAGATGCTTATCTCCGTTTAACACGTTGTCTGACACAGTGAATCACTGTTACACATTTGTATTATTAATTACACTATTAATCCTTCCGCTGGAAACGGCGAAAATTATTTATTTCAATAAACGCAAGTTATTTATAATAGTCTTAAACAAACTACCCTATCAAATGATCCCCCATGGTAGTCAACGCGTTAATACATCAATTCATCTCTAATGTCTTGCACCAAAGAAGTGGTAGCAATAGACAAGAACAAATAAAAGAGTGAAACGACAGAGAAAGTTACGGCGAGGCACAATAACGAACGAAAAGAATAGAGAGAAAGAAAAAAATACAATAAATAAACAGTCTATTTTACAAGGTAGGAAAACGTGTGTGTTTACCAGGGCGACGACTTACGATATCATCAATAGAACATACCATGGTGGCGCGCTTCTCGTTTCTCTACTTTCTTATTATTAATTTTTTTTTTCTTTAATTTAATTAACGTTTACTTAGATAGCACTAGCTAATATGGATGTGTATACTCTGTACAAGGATAACCACGGAGATGAGATCGGTAATCGAAAACGTGGTATGGTGAAGCTTAGCCGTTCGTCGAGCACTGTCACGAGGAACGGCTATCGTCGTGGTAATATTCGAATAGGAGGATATAGCGGTTGCGTGGTAGATTCGTACCGCACCCCGCAACCTCCAGCCCCATGTAAGCTCCTCCTTCACTACGGGCCTGAAAGCTTTTGGAAAGGCGCTTGCGCTATTTCTGGGATGCAGACGCAGCCGCGAGGCTCGAAATCAGGGACGTCTTTTCGGATCCGCTTCCAGTTCGGCTCCCCCCGTTGCCTCATTTTATCAGATTTCTGCTACTATTTTGCTATTTTGCTACTGCTACTATTCCTTGTTGATTACTGGCCCTCCAGTTTCACGCTGAAAATGATTATGATAGTCAAGCACTTTTCATGCATTGAATTTTTTTTAATATAAAATAAGAATTCTGCTGTTTTTAAGAAGTCACAGAGGACTTTGGTGAAGGACCTGTGCTACTTTTGAAAAGACAGGATGCATATAATCTGAGAAGCTTTAAGTCTGATGAGAATGGTCTCCTTTAATTTTAGACATCCACTGAAATATCCCACTTGAATCCGTTCATTGAGACGACTGTGTGTACGTCTTTTTGGGAATGAACGACATCGCTGCATTGGTACGAAAATAGAAAATGACAATTCTACGGTCTACAACGTAAACTCTACGTAAACGACAGTAAAACTTCGAGTCAGATCAACAGAGAACTTATTGCTTGGAGCCGAAACAAGAACCTTCAAGCTGGCGCTAACAAAAGAAACAATACTTAGAACAAGTTTGAGTCATAACGTTAAACAATATTATTAACAATTGGGGTATTCAATTTTTTTTACCACTTAAATATTTTATGATTAACAATCATTAATAAGGGTAGGTCGCATGGTTCAATTTCAACTACTGAAATAAATGCGATTACCTCTGGAAATTTTGTAGCTGGCTCGATCACCGAGTGAAATTATTGTAACATTAGTCGACTCGTTTTTTCAATGTCCAAGCTGTAGACATTTTCCTCGCTGTCAGTCAAAAAGAGAAATTGAAAATGTTTTATGGAACAGGTTTCTACGTCCGGGAATTCAACGGCGTAGACAGAGTGTTTCAAAATCATCAAGACTAACAAAGAAATGTGGGTAGTTTGGTGGATAGTTGCCAACAAAACAACTTTTCCGGCTTGAATAGTGCTCTGAGAAAACAATAAACAAAGGATACTATATCGTGTATCACTGTGTCTATATTTTTCTTTCATTGAATTCCTATTTCCTCTTCTTGATAACTTCATATTTTCAAAGCACAATACCCAGATGAATAATAAAATATAAAAAAGTATCATCTTCTTGCTGAAATTTAGAAATACTTATAGTAATTATTGATGGAACGTTGCCGAATAATAAAGTGAAAATCCGCAATAATCACTTAAACCTATGTCTGGAGAAGGTAGATAAACACCTTTGGAGAAGATCCAAAATTCCCACGGTTAAGTACCATGCTGTATAATAAACGTTGTTTACTACTATTTATTAGCGATTTAAGTAACCATTAAGTGTTTAATCTACCTATGATCGACGGAGGAATCGAAAGGTCGTTTTAGACTCTAATTTTCAATCTTTCCTGCGTAATAATCGAACCTCGATTTATCTGAGGAAATTGTCAGACGTACGGGAATATCACGCGGTAACATAAATCAAACCAAGAAACTGATACATCTCTGCCAAATCCACAAGTAAATTTGTGCCAGTGCGAATTCCTTATATAATGAAAATCTGGAAAACATATAGGATTATTTAATGGTGTTGAGATAAAATTAATTTTGTAATTCTTCTTACCATTTAGTGTAATTAAAGCCTCTTCTGTTTTTAAAATGATAAAATATAAATAGAGTGTCATAATGAGAAATTGCTAAATGTATCAAGGTGTGAATGATGTAAGTGATAATACTTCAGTATCATGTAAGTGAATGTTTGCATTTTCACTTCTGTACAGGAATAGAATATACAATTTGGCGAGGGATTTTCCTTCAGTAAGCTATACACTGGCACAGCTCCAACTTAAACAAGCAAATAAAGCATTAGAATGGTCTGCATTAGACTTCATATAATGGATTACAATCTATGATCTATTATAAATCTGCGGTAGAACTGGTCTAATTAATTCGTATAAAAATATTCGGCTACTTACAAACGATGATAAACTATAACCTGGATGATCGCGATGGTCATAAATTGTGATTGTTATTCGTTCGTCAAGGAATTGAATTTTCTAATCAGAGTACGCTCGATAATAAACACATAGCTCATTGACTTGTTTCATCGTATTTTCTGGGCAACTTGACAAAAATACTGAGTGAACGAGTGGTGCGAAATTGATGAGAATTATTTGTCACGTGTTTGAGTATAAAATATGAGTCTAATGAGTTCAATTCAAGATGAATGAAGTTTTAAACGTTTTATAACAATGATTTCAATTTTTCAGGTATAAAAAATGATATACATAATTGAAATTAGTATAAATAGAAACGATTTTATTACATATATACTCATTCACTCATCAAAACAACTGCAGTCTCACAGAATTGTCTGGTGAAATAAATGATTAAGTTCATGCATCCCACACCTTATACATTATTGAGATCCAGTCGATAGTAGTGCTAACAATGCACTTGTTGCACCAACGGAAAGTATGTAATTCACAGCTGGAGTAAATGTCTTTAAAATGTAGAATGAAGATACAATAACAAGAGCTAAGAATAAGGCATTGTTGTAGAAGATTGAAAATGTTGTTGCTTCATAATCAGCTACTTCATTTTTCTTCCACAAGATTCTGGAAATTTGTATTAAACTTTTAATATAAATACATCACAGAAATATTAAAATCAGACATTCTAAATTACCTTTCATCTTTCTCTTTCTTGCTCATTTTCTTATCTTCTGCTAACTTTCTATTCATCTCCTTAGTCACTGCATCTTCCCTTTTCACTGCAATCTGTTAATAAATGGCACTTGTTATAATCAAAAACATAAACGTGTTATAAAACTTATGTGATTTATAATACCTTATGTTTAAGAACAAACTTGGTATTTTTATAAGCAAGAGCTAAAGCATATGTGCTTGCTAATGTAACTAGAACGAAGGAAATTAGATTAGCATATATGTCGATCAGATGAATTCTCCAGAAAAGCCCTGAAACAGAAAGATACAGGTTATCTATGAAAAAAATATATTTTTCTCACAATTATCTATTTGTTCTTTAAAGGATGATTTAAACATATATTAAAATTTATCAAAGAATGCATAAACGTTAATGTAAGATCGATATAAGATATGTACATTAATTTTTCCAAATTTTCTACTCACAGATGGGGATCGCTGAAACGATGAAAGCATTGCCATAAAACAAAGCCGAAGATTTAGTGGAAACATTCCGTGAGAAATCTTGAAGAAGAAGTTCTTCTTCTTTAGTGAATGCTTTCGATTTTCCTGACATTTTCTTGTCTTTTCTTCAGGTACTTTTAACTTACTTTAAAACAACTTATTGTCACACTACTTACGCGCGAATCGAAATACTTATTGCCGGCACAATGCGCATGCGCAGAGATGGCCAGTGTGGAAGTCCGTGTGACAACGTGTCCGTCGAAACGTCATTTTGGCAAAGAAACCTTTTTCGCCATCTATAGCGTACTTTCTCAAACTTTTCGTACAGTTCAGTCGGTATTACAGTAATCTACTTTGTTCTATAAACTGAGTATGATGATTGGTTGAATTTTTCGTATGCTTTGGATGGTTGGTTGTTACAAATGCTGCTCTCTGATTGGTTCAATCAGAGACAATATCAAGTTCAAATAAATGTAGCGGATGTTATTTAACCGCCGTTCAGCCGTTAAGGAGTAATAGACAGTGTTTTCCTTGTTTTGTACGTAAATCGTGATTATCCTGATATTTTAACAGAAATATAGTAGGAAACATGCGTTCGCGTGTTAAGTAAACTTATTTGTATGAAAATATTAGGTAATTCAAGAATAAACGGATAATTTGTAGACGTGTGACTACAGATTTGCTTGTATCTTTTTAGGCAACAAGGTTTGTTTTATTAAAGTGTTGTCGTTATTGTTCGTATACATATCTCTTCTAACGAACATTGTATTTTAATCTTTGTAAATTAGGATTTAAGAGAGCATGAATAGTAGAAGAGAAATAGATTGATTTGATAAAAAATATTTTTCAAATCTGGGTAATGCATGTGTTTAGTTGAATTTTTCAAGCATGTAATTTATTGTAATTATTCTTACATTAATGTAAATAATTATTATTGATAGATGGAATCACGTTTACCAAAACCAAAGATTGGAGTAACATCAATACTTAGTACAACGAATGTGAAAATGGAAAATCAAAAAATAACAAAGGACCAAAGCCGAGAGCCTCATACTAGTTCTGCTAGTATTTCTGAGAATTTGAAAAAAGCCAAAAGTACGCTGAATATGAACCTTAAATGTACAAATGAAAATAAGCTGCCACCAAGGGGAAACCTTACCAGATCAAAAACTTTGTCGTCTATTACTACTAGGGCTACAAAAAGGCCAGCTACTGCTCCTACTACACAAATAGAGGCTAAAAAACCATTTACTAAGCCTTCTGTTAAGTCTACAGTAAATACACGATCTGGCACTATATTAACAAATAAAGTTACTAACAGAATCATTCAAGATGCTTCAACTAAAAAGATTCAAAATAATACTGTAGTTAAGCCTTCTAAATGGGATTTAAAGGGTAGATTGGCTCATACAAATGATGCTTTGTCCAATATGCGACAGAAATACAATGAAACTACATTAAAGTACAATGAACTTCAAGAACAAGTAAACAGTTTGAAAGCAAATGAGAATGTATATAAATCAAAAGCAGAGAAGTATGAAAATTTAAATAAAGCATTAGATAACGAGCTTAAACAATTGAAAATGGAAATGGACAAAGTACAAGAAGAAAGAGAAAGTTTATTTAAACGTTTAATGGAATCAGAAAAGTCCTTCAAAAACGTTTCAAACAAACTACGAGAATGTCAAGAAACGTATGAATCTCAAAAAGTGTTGCTAGTGAAACACGAATCTGTAATACAAGATTTAGAATCGAATTTGGGAACTCAGGTAAAGATCAATGAAGAATTGACTACAGTTAAAAACGAGTTACAATCGTTAGTTCATACAATGGACAAGGATCGTAGAATTCTACATAACGCGATACAAGAACTAAAAGGAAATATTAGAGTATTTTGTAGAGTACGACCTAGAACTCCAAACGAACTTGAAAAACCATTGTGTGCAATGAACTTCATAGATGAATGCACTATTGAAGTAGGAAAATCAGATGGTTCTGATGCAGTTAGCTGTAGCGGAAAATTAAGAGGAATTAGACAAGAATTTTCGTTTGATAAAGTTTTTCCACCAACGGCTAAGCAGGAGCATATATTTGAAGAATTATCTATGTTGGTTCAGTCTGCCTTAGAAGGATACAATGTTTGTGTCTTTGCATATGGCCAGACTGGTTCTGGTAAAACGTATACCATGGAGGGTTTACCTGGCTCTGAAACGGAAGGCATGATACCTAGAACGGTACGGCATATATTTCAAGAAATGAAACAATTTGAATTACTTGGATGGGAGTATGAAATAGAAGCTAGCTTCCTTGAAATTTATAACGAGCATATTGTCGATCTGCTTGATTATCAACAAAAAATACACGAAATCCGAATGGCCGACAGTAAAGGGCACGATTTGTACGTTAGCAACCTTAAGATAGAAAAAATACATAATCCTGACGAACTGCACGAATGTCTTCTAATTGCACAACGTAACAGAGCGGTTGCGGCTACTCAGTCGAACGAAAGGTAAATTAATAATTTACAAATAGCGGTAATAAATACATAAATGATGACGTAATGTGATTTTCTAGATCATCAAGATCACATTCAGTAGCAAGAATAAGGCTTATTGGAATACACCGATTAAGAGGAGAGATTTCTGTAGGAAACTTAAATTTAGTTGACTTAGCAGGCTCCGAAAGATTAAAAGGCGAGGAAACGGTACGACTGGCGGAAACGAAAAACATTAACAAATCGCTGGCGAACTTAGGTAATGTTATTCTTGCTCTTTTGAAGAAGCAGGAACATATTCCTTACAGAAACTCAAAACTTACTCATTTATTGATGCCATCTCTGGGTGGCAATTCAAAGACTTTGATGTTATTAAATATATCGCCTTTAGAAGAGTGTTATAATGAAACACTGAATTCATTAAGATTTGCTAGTAACGTGAATAGTTGTAAAACAGGTAATGTGAAACGAGCGCGAACTGTTTTACAAAACACTATGTAAAACTTCAAATAGTCATTCTCGTCACAATCGTATTTTCGTAGCCTTCCTTGAGACTATTTTACATGTTTAATTTGCAACGACTGATTACAATTTTATGAAAGATACTATTATAAAATTTTATACTTCCTTAAAATGGTACAAAGTAGGTGTAAATAATAATATATAAAATATTTTCTTAATGTCGAAATTGAATACATATTGTTGTTCCTTCAAGTTAAATAAGATTTAAGAACGTCCCTTTTAGTTATCAAACATTTGTTTTAAATTTAATACAATTAGACTGATGACTGAATCGGTTTTCCGATTCCCGCTAGGGTGATTCTTATAGTGTTCCCTAGAGGGGATCAGAACATCAAAAAAAAAGTTATTTGTTAGACAGTGTAATCTAGAAGCTTTTATCTATTTTATGCGTACAGTTTTTCATGAAAATTATTTTCATGGAACAATTCTACCTTTGTAAGCATTCATTGTAACATGTATTGAAATAAACAATAATTAATCTAACAACATTCATCAATTTCTAGTTGAAATGTATGTATGTATGTATGTATGTATGTATGTATGTAAGAAATTATTATATTGTGTTAAGATACATAAGATTACATTAAAATCAGGTTTCGAATTTCATACCGTATTCAAATAATAATGTCCAAATAAAACAGAATATTTTATTTAAAATGATCACTTATAAATTGATTTTATACAAACAATATAACTTGTAGACACCTCTAACATAAATGGATGAAAAAATTGAGATCTCGTTAAATTTTCCAGAAATTTTTTAAATTCTGGTGATGAACTAATGACACCCTTTTGTACACATTTTTTTAATGGAAGATAATTGATTTTTTCATTTGATGATTTTACATCACATTCTATATATTTTGAGTTCTGAACTGCTAAATACCTTGTTAAGGAGCTATAAGTACTCTTCAATTGTTGATTATTAAAATATTGGTACAATTCATAATTGTTAAAGAGCAACAATGTATAACCATTAAAAACAATTTTGTTTTGTACAATAGTTATATTTATGTTCAGTATATTGTTATTTTTTTCCTCTACCCAAACATAATCATCTTTTGTTTGATCATAGGATAACATATTCTGCTCCACATCAATTTTAGAATTTAGAGAAAGTTCACATTGCAACACAAGGTGATCATTACCATTTGTTTCATCATTAAAAATATTATTTTCTTTATGTTCTCTCACAAAAGAATTCAAATATGAGATAATTGAAGAAGAGTTACATTTTCTGTGAAAACTTAAATTGAAATATGATTATTTTTAAGCTTTTGCACAAGAAAATTCTTACTTACATATTATTCCATACTTCTATCTTTTTCCTTATACGTTCTTGCATGAATATAGAAAGTACCACAAAGCATATGAATGCAAAAATATGAATATGTTTAAGCATGGCCCTTAAGATTAGTGTTGTGTTGTTCAAAGTATAATCTGATGCCATAATGTATAACATATCTTCCATAGTTTCTGTGTTTGTTGAAATGTTACATGCAATTCCAAGATTTAAATTTTGCTGATAAAATAATACAGCTAAAAGAAAATTGTTTCTTACTTAATATATTGTATGAAAGTACGTATCAGATTTACCTTCTTGTGCCAAAATATCAGAGTGATACAAATTACTTGTACACAGAGCTATCCATAATCCAAATCCCCAGAGGAATAAAATATTCCAAGATATATAATGTGATCTTCGTCGTTTAAATATCGTTAGATAATGACGAGTCATTGCACAAGAAATATTATTTAAAAATATCTACTTTTTGCATCAATAAACGAATGTTTCCAAACATTATTCTGTATTATGTATAAAATAAATTTTGTGGAAGTAAATTCATAGTAAATTAAAAGGTTACACAAATTTAAAAAAAAGAAGGTAATCTGTGCAGAATTTCATACATATATATGTAAGCGTATATATTCAGTACATCACTTATTGGATGTCAATATTTTAGAATCCACCACAAGATATAAATTTATATTATGCCTAATATTTTAAGAGTGTTAAGTAAAATTTGTAATGTGCAATATTTCAACACGTTTAGATAACTTAAATCAACAACTTATGATTATTTCTAAATTACAAAACATGGAAGAAGAATGTAACATATGCTCTATTCCATCATGTAAAAAGGTACACATAACATGTTGTATGTTCATTTAAGAAAATAATATATTAAAAAATTATACACTTTGTGCAGTGCAGTATACATAACTTTGGTAAACTGTACCATTGTGCCCATCACATTTTATCTTTTAAAGAACAATGCAATAAATTTAATGATAAGTGCATTTCATATAATGACAGTAAAAGGAAGATACCATGCAATTCAAGATCATGTAAAACACGTAGAAAATTACTTCTCTGTAGAGATATTAAATTAGCTGAAGGTATACTGACACTATTTTGTGTAACAAATATTATCTTATTAATACATCATTTTTTTAACAGTTCAAACAGATTTAAAAGATGATATACAAGTATCCAAAGGTTCAACTGTTAATACTAAAAATAATACAATTAGTCAGGACCATTTACAAGTGCCAGAGAAATCACATAAATCTAATCAAATAAGTTTAAACTCACAATCGTTTAAAACATCTGTTACCGATAAAGTAGTTGATACATATGAAGAGAAAAATGAACAAACCATTCCTACCAAAGATAATTCGCATACTGAAGCAAGTACAAATAATTCAAATGGAAGTATTATGCAACTTGAGGCACCAAGTAAAGAAACAGCTCAAACTGAAGTGGATAGAAATTTTATCGAAGAAAATAATGGATTAAAGGAATTCTATTACAATCCTGAAGATATTTACAGAGACATAAATTCTTTTGAAAGAATTCAAAAGGTTTTACTAAACAGAAATTCCTGTTTGTAGACTCTATTGAAACTCATATAATTTGTAATTCATAGGAGCTCTTAGATGAAAGAAGACGTACCGTACAATTAGAGAAAAAATTAAAATCTTTGACCTGTAACTTGAAATGCTTGAAAGAAGAACAAAGGGCAGCTTGTTTAAGAAATGCAGTAGAAACAACAGACCAAGAAATTGAAGTTGCAGTCAAAGAATCAAAAGCTGAGACAGATTTAGTTAGAAATACAGAAGAACAGTTACTGAATGAAATCTCGAGATTACAAGTATGTACAGCACTGAGTATAGTAGCCCTCCTCGGGAAGTCTACTGTGCTCGATGCTGCACACAAGATAAAAATTATGTTCATTAATATGAGAATAAATGCCACTTCAGCAACAGATAATTGAAGTTGCGCATGCAAATACCGCCTTGTCCCAAGAACGTGATCATTTAAAGAACAAGTTACAATCTTACTCAGAGGAAGAAACTAGACGGTAATTTCGTTTAGTCTTTCAATAAATATATATATATATATATACCCTTATTTCTTTGAAGTATAATTGAAGGATCACTTCATATAAGGTGTGAAGAGGTTGAGAGGGAAGTAAATCGAATGAAACAAGCAGCAAAAGAGAAAGAAGATGCTGTGAATACAGAAAGAACAGAATTCATGGACATGATTATGGAACTTACAAATGTAATTAAGATACAGAAGAGAAGGATATGTGAAGTAACTGGTATATGTAATAATCAACAACATACATTGCAAGAGAGGGATAAAGAACTACTTGAAAAGGTAAGCAATAAATGAAAGGAACTTAATTACAGCCTCGTATTTCTTCATAATTTATCCACAGAACAGTGCGCTGTTAGAAGTAAAACAGATGTTGGAATCAAGTAATTGCGTTTGTAAAGAATTGGAAGAAAAAATAGAGGATCTGAAGTACGGTTTGTGCGAAGAGAGAAAAGCTTGTGATTGCCTTAAACAAGAACTAGAAACTCTTACAGAAAATCATTCTTCTGAATTAAGAATAAAAGAAAAGATCGTTGAAGAACAAAACAAAACCATATCAAAACAAAAAAAGGTATTGTATGTAGTAAGCCTGAATTGAACCATCTAATTAATGAGTTTTTATTATTAGTTATTGCATGACAGTGAAGAAATGGCACAGCAAGTTGCTTGTGAATTTGATCAACTCAAAGATGAATTGCATAAAGAAAAACAGAGAAACAAATCGTTGCAATTAACGCTGGATAAAACCGATACCGAATTAAATAATGCGTATCTATCACAATGTGAACAATGTAGAAAATTTATAGACGAAATAGATTACTTGAAGAAAGAAAAACAGAGGGCATTAACAGTTGCAAAACTTGCATATCAAAAATTACATCAGTCTATTAAACAATATCAGACAAAACTTGTTTATGAAAGGCAGCAGTATAGATACATGGTATCTATTGTTAACAAAAAAGAACAAGAAATAGGATGTTTAAAAAATCAAATATGTCAATATAATGGAAGATCTCTTAAAAATGTTAATGGTTATATTACGTAATCTGTACATCATAAAATTAAGTTATAATGTTTATTCCTAATGTGTGTTATAAAGTGTGTTCATAAATTTCAAAGTTGATGAATCTACATCAACAAATATGCATTTACATTGTAAATACATACAATTTACCAATAATATTTTCTTTGCGAATAATGTAATTAAACCATATATTTATTGAACACTTCTATATATATTACTTAAATTTTAATTTAGTAAGTCGTACCCTTATTTCAAGAAATAATAATTTAAGGTTCCTTTTATACCATGCAATATTATAGTTTAAATGAGTTTGCCAATTTTTGTCTAAAAATTCTTTATAAAATACTGACATGTCATCTGCAGTAATTGACTCTTTTCCTTGTGCCTTCAGGTCTTTTTGAAATTGTTTCCTTTCCTACAATACATTCAACTTTGTAATGTTTAAACCATTTTTGATAACAGTAATATATAAATTATAATACCTGTATAAAACTCGTATTATGCTTTTTCCAGAAATGTTCATTCCAAAGCTGCGTATCTTCTCTGGCTTCCCTGTATTTCTTCTCTAAGTTACTTTCATTTTTAGATCTTGCAAATATTATGGGTCTTAAATTCGAAACTGGGTCAGGCGGTCCAATTAGGTCAGCTTGCGTAGGAGCTTTTAGGTTAGAAGATACTTTCTGATTATAATGAAAATTATAAATGTACATGGAACAGACAATAATTACATTAATATAATAAATAAAGTGCTTACTGTGCTAAACAACCTGACTGCTTTATTACAATGTTTTACTTGTATGTAATTACATATTCCAGCCATTTCTTATACGTATAACACATGTTTAACAAAGAGGTTATGTAGTTACGTATGGCACATATTTAAATATATATATATATATATACCGCAGTTCACCAGAGTCCATAACTACGAAAAGACCAATTTTCGTTCTTCGCGCATCTCTAGTACGCATCTTCGCCCTGATTGGCGATACTCCCAAACGAAGTGGAAAGCGATTAGCAGAGAGCTCGCTGCGTTCCCCCACCATCTTCCAACCTGCGCATCGCAGTTATGGACTCTGGTGAACTGCGGTATAAGTGTATCGTCGTATCACTCATTCTTCCTTTCAATTTACTTCACATAATAATCAAAGAATACAAATGTAATTCTTATTCAACGAACAACCTTTTATTCATACAACATAAGCTCTTTTATAAATATAATCTAATAAATCTAATAATTGCATTATATTGTTTACTATATAAATAAAATTCATTTACCTCTGCAATATTATTTCGTAACATTTATATTAAAACACTGGTATTATATTTGCAAAAAAAATCGTTTAGCATGATTCATTTCAGAATAGATTATTAAAAACAAAAAATAAATTCAAAAATTCATTTCGATTAAAGATCTCTTTGATAATTTCTTTTTTGTACAAAAGAAATCATCGACTTAAATTATGAGAAATTCGTTAAAAATTTAGAATAACACATTCAGAGGATACAAGGTTGCCTGCATATAAGACTAGATAAGGTTTTCTTTTGTAAAAACATTCCCTCTGTCTGCACAAATGGTTGTTTGGGAAAATACACCTAGCATGCGATCAACATTTCATTATTAGCTGTTACTTTAGATATCACAGCATGCGTAGATATATTTTCCGAAACGGGAAGCGATGTTGTTTAACATCGATTTTTAATAACCTGCATTATTTTCCTAAAATAATGTAATTCTATGCTTAATTCAACGACTTTAAGTATGCTGCATCAAATAAATCGAGCTCATTAGTTAAATAATTAGCCTTATTTCGTAAAACCTTAGCGCTACTGGTTGCTTCTTCAAGTATTCGAATTGTACTCGCAATGTTTTTCAGTTCAGAATCCATTTCAGTTGTCGTTTCGTCTATTAAATGACACAGACGTGCAAATGTGCTAGACAGCTCCCTGTAATTATATAAAAATAATAACATTATATGAAAATGAATATTCAATGAAACCTTTGAAACTTACTGTTGTACTTGATGGCTACAATTTGCAGATGTCAGATCTACAATTAGTTTTAATTTCTTTGTAGCGTGGGACACATATTGACGCTTAAATTCGCGCTCTTTTGCTTTATTAGTCCATGTTAATCGTTCGTAAAGATACAAAGCACCGTATATAGCACCAGTTACAGCTATAAGCCTCCAACCAATTGTTTTCAACATCTAACAAAATTTCAATAGAATAAAACCAAATGATTCAATACTTGCAACTATGTGTTTTATACAACAGACACCTACAAAACCAGCAACTATAAGTCCTCCCATAGTACCCTGAGATGTGATGGATGCTACTGCAATTTTAGTAGCCAATGACCAGTCATCTGATCTTTGTGAAAAAGCTGGGGCACTTGACATCAATTTTATAGAATCGACACTTTCTGCAGGACTCATAAGAGGTGGTGGTACCTATGAACATAGACAGCTCGTAATATTATCAATACAAAAATATTTCATTAATTAACTTACATCCTGTGGATAATTAGCAATAGCTAATCTTTTCCCTTGCTTTCCCGCAAACCTATTAATTATAGCTATAATTCCCCAAGAGAATCGGAATTCTAAATCCTCATGAAAATCAGCACACAAATTGTCACAATTTAATCTGTACAAGATTTCGAATGGCTCTCTTCTTGGTAAAATGTTCAATGACATTTGCCTCTTATTTTCTGGCAGTAAGTTTGCCATTCGTTCCGTCATTTCCCTTTGTGAATTTTCTATATTTAAAGCCAATGCTGTACTGAGCCTTGCTCTTAAGTTAGAACCTGTATAATTATAAAGTTAGAATTTCTATCAAGTAAGAAGAATGCAGAATAAATGTAAGCAATACCTAAACCATTTTCCACATGGGTATGGAGTTCCCGTTTATATACATTTAGAACTAATGGATCAGTATGAAAAGGAACACTAAATTCGTCAACAAGTACAGCTAATCTACGAATTTCTTCGCTCAAAGCTTTCGATACTCTCTGTTCCACATCCTCTACCATATGATGAATTTTGTCTTTCATTTCTTGGGTTAGCAACATTAACTGTTGTTCGGTGAAATTTAATTTGTCATGAACGTCTTTTTTAACGTGTAATTGTTCGTTTTTCATCTTTTGCGTTCTTTCTAGTATTTCGTCTAACGTTTGTCGAATTTCCCTTAAAAGGAAAAAGAAAGAACACGTTTTTGTACACTGTATTTAAACGAAAAATGAATAAATGATAGACTATTTACGTGGCGATATGTTTTCCACGTTGAGAATGCTGTTCAAACTTCGTTTTTACAGCAGACTTGGAGATACATTCTTCAAATTTTCGTTCGAAATCTTGGAATTCGAAATAGCGATTTTGGAATCCTTCTGCTAACGCACCATCTATAATAAAGTTTCAATTAAGTATATTATTTGTTATCTTATGAAAAATTTGGTTTGCTTACTGTGAGCAGGCTGTCCCCGTTGTTCTTGTATACGAGCTTGTAGAGTTTCTTTTGCTGAAATGAAGAACACTCGTTCTTCAGCATCCTTAGGAGTATAAACTTTTAATTCTCTTGATAAAAAGTCGACGGCCCTATCTTGATGTTGCGCCCTTACCTACACAAACATAGAGCATAATAAATACGAATTTCATAGTAACTTGTAAGAGATAATTTAAAAAGCAGGAAGCACATATTTAAATATTCTTGATATATTTTAAGCACAAAAGTAATTCGACCTGTTGCATTATAAAAATTCTATTAAATTTATTCTTTCATTAATATTTCCCATGCCAAAGATCTGTGCACGCTGATTGTATTGCATAGTGTACCATTAATTTAATTTGCAAAGACTGTAGTTGATACACGTTTAAGTTACACTACAAGTAATAAAATTTCTAAAATAACTTACTTCTTTTTGTTCTTTGACCAGCTATGGGATAAATGGGGTATTACATGAATTATTTAAGTAAAGCTGCCACTGCATACAGCTAATTATCAATAAATTCATTTTTACAAGTATAGTTTTGAAATATATTAATACACAATGAATGAAATTGTTTATATGAAAACAGATTTCAAGACAATAATCTTAATATGTAGTACCAGCTTTAATAAAAAATATAAAAAATTGAAATTTATTTCATTCTCGAGAAAGTATTTTTAACAATAATTTCCAACTACTTCAAGTATATTACAATATTACCTATACAACACACGCAACTTTATGTAATACATACCTGTTCAAAGAACTCTGGTTCGGAAGCAGATGCATCCCATCGATTATTAAGAATAAAAATATTTGGTTTAGATAATTTTGTAGACACTTTGTGGAAAAAGTTTTTTTCCTGTAAGTTTAATATTGTTTGTAGTTAATTGGTATAGATATACAAAAAATAATTAGTAACACTCACAGTAACCATTAAAGTAGATTCAGCATTGGCTACCAGAACAAAAACATCTGCATCCAAGCAGTGTTTATCAATCCATTCATCTAAATTAGGTGTTACATCTACTCCAGGACTATCAACAAATACCACATCATCTCGTAATAGTAAACATTTTTCCTTTGGCCAAAATATTCTCACCAAATGACTCTCGCACAACTTTTCTTTACAGAGAGCATGACCTAACTGACCAACCGATTGAACAGGTTGCTTTTCGGTAGATCCTTCCGTAATAAGATAAGCTTCACCATTGTCTGAACCTTCTACTTGTAAGAAACAATTTGTTGTGTGTCCTATACCACTTGGTAAAATCTTGTCACGTAACATTGCATTAATGACTGTACTTTTCCCATTGCTAGTTCTGTAACAGTCACACGATATTTAGTTTAGATGTTAATTATTGTTCAATATTAATTATAATCGTATACCTTCCAAAAAATGCTACTTTCATGTGATCTCTCATGAGAACATCTCTAATTGCATGAACTTTTTTAACATAACTCTCAATTGTTTGTGCTTCATCAGTGGTAACGATCTGATGCTCTGTTTTCAATGCTGCAAAGTACAAATTAGGATGATTGACAACATAAATTGTATTCTGTGGCTGATAAGAATTACTTACATTTTATGAATCCCACAGTGTCCTGTACATAGTCTTCTATTTCCACAAATATATCGTTGATCTTTTTCTTGGCTTTAACAAAGATCTGAAGAGGAGAATTATCAGTTCTTATATCTGTTGATCTTAAGTGGCTGTCTCCTCCAATCATGGACATTGTACGATTGATGTAGGCAGCCATTATTTCCTTATATGTTTATTATACAAATGAAGTGTTTGGCAAAGTAAGAAAAAATACAGTGCAATGTTTTTGACAGGACGTTGATGCAGTGCACAGCATGCAGGACCAACTGAAATCATAAAAAAGCAAGAATTAAATATCTTCTAATAACGATTTCTATCTACAAGGTTCAAAATACACATTTTTTATTTACACAAACATTAAGTAACATTATGATATTTTAATTCTTTTGTAGATACAACGATAAAAATTAAACATAAAAAGAGGAACAAAATTATAACTGATATAGCACAAATAAATATTTGACAACAATTTAGCATATACATAGAACAATAAGCCATTAAAGTACTATAGATTTCAAAATATGCTTTTGAAACCTATAAGTTATACAAGATAAACTTTTATATTTTAGTATATGGGTACATGTTCAATTATGTGAAACCTATCACATACAATAAGCATTATGCAATATTTATAACAAGGCAGTAAAACCTTCTTGTCTTTAGTCATTGAAGTGTCCTTTGTTGTAATATAAATGCGATGTAACTTTGAATGCCTCCTTTACTCCAAATTTTCTAAAACAATTTATTGATGACACAATTGTAAATAATTCTTTGTCATATCTGATGTCTTAAAAAATTATTCTAATTATGTTTCATTGATGTATTTTACAAAATAAAGGGACAAATTATTTATTACATTAAGATTTTAATAGATCTGTGTCTGCATTATAAATCAATCATGTATCAAAGTAATGTACTTTCATATGGAATCAGTTGCTTAAGTTATGTCACTTATATCAATAATGATATTTATAAATTCTGACAATTTGATGTGTACATTTTGTACAATGTGATTGCAACAGAACTTTTTACGCCTCTGTATTTTGTTCCAAAAATCACGACGTATATTATGTTGCATATTAATTGAACAATAAATATTATTCGTTCATTACTCAAAATCTGCTATTCCAAAAAGACTATTTTTTCTGCTATTACTAGCAAAAAATTAAAAATATACATTTCATCGCTCGCCGAAATCTAACCTGTAGCACTATAAAATTTTATTTAATATCTAAACTTATGTTCTCACCGATAACAGTTATAACTCCTGTGGTATCATATTTTTAGCCAAATCTGGATTTAATCGTGTATAAAACAGTGAATAACATTTCGTGACTACAAAATATCTAACAAATTGGCTATTAGATCGAAGTGTATTAAAATAAGTTCACATGTGAACCAATGTGAACTGATTGGAAGTGGTAACAAACACGTGACGTTCAATGTTTGAAGGCTTATTTTTAAATGTATTATGTTAAATACAGTTTTCAGTAACAATTTGTATTAATTTAGCATATTATATACACATTTTGAAAATTTGATTGACTCAAAAATTGCAAAAATCTGTATTTCATAGGTTTATACGCATCTCCTATATTCTATACCGCAGTTCACCAGAGTCCATAACTGCGACGCGCAGGTTGGAAGATGGTGGGGGAACGCAGCGAGCTCTCTGCTAATCGCTTTCCACTTCGTTTGGGAGTATCGCCAATCAGGGCGAAGATGCGTACTAGAGATGCGCGAAGAACGAAAATTGGTCTTTTCGTAGTTATGGACTCTGGTGAACTGCGGTATATATGTATTATACTATAATGGCGGACATGTGACTATCATTTCACACAAGATACGTTTTCCTGTAAATTCGACAATTAATTCACGAGTAAGTGTTCGAAATAAAATTAAATATCGTACATCATTCCCTTCTGATGCGATAAGATGACTCGCGGATTTGTACATTCTGTTAAAGTCCCACGACTTTACAAAGCAGCGGCTAAAATTCTCCAAGAAGTCCATGAGACGCATGCCAGTCTTAAATCATTGACTTATTCACAGAGACATCCTGTAAGTTAATACATGTAATTAAAAATGAAACAAAATAATTGAACGATAGAATAAATGCAGTTAATATATTGAAATTTGAAATTGTAAAAGGAGTAAATCCTTTTGATAACTTTCCCCGGTAGTTATAATCACGTGATTTTTAAAAGTTTCATAATTTATTTTACATGTATAATATTTGTTTATAGCAGTAATAACAACATTTTATTTATTTTTATCTAATTATGTAGAATGTATCGGCAATATATTCGTTGTGTTTGAATGCATTGCAAAAGAAAGAACAATTAAATCAACTTTTAAATAAAACTCATCTGTTGATGAACGAGCCGCGTTTGGATCCATGGTTAGCAAGAATTCTTATAACAGAATTACTTTGGGGTAAAAAAGTTCTGAAAGCAGAATGCAGGCCTGTTCAGACTATACGTTCCTATGAGAACCTGTTGAAGGATGAATTGAGCGCTATTAGCAATGTTCAAGCGCCTGAAACATCAATTAAACAAGGTACAATATTTTATTTAGTAATCAATAAATGTATATTATTTTTACAGAAATGGGCCATCCCTGTGTAAAAATATAAATAGCCAGGTTCCACTGCAAATTTCAAATATATTAGATCAATTTCTTTGTAAAGGAATTGTTCATCTGGATTGATGGTTTTAATCATCCGCAACAACCGGATACTTACTAGCCGCCACCCTAGATTCAAAAGATTTTTATGTTATATACATAAAAATCAAAAATTACATCGTAAAAATAATCCTAATCAGAATAAAAAGATAGAAACTATGAGTTTGACAACAGTTTTAGTAAAACTGTTTTTGTATAGCCTTGCTATGTTTACATTACCATTTGCCACATTTTTTGGGGTTCAACATGTTATGAAAGTTGAATTTCAAGTAAATAGATTTGCAACAAACTGCATTTCGGTGTTTGCTGCAGTGATTACAGTAAACATGATAATTGCCTGTTATGTTTATCAGGCACTTCATGAGCCTGATAATACTGATGAGGTTGAAACAACTGTGGATCAGCCTTCTAAAGATGATCTCAATAAAAAAACAGATTAAACAAAAACAAGTAATTTTTTATATAATGAAAAAAGTTATGTAACTGTATTTATATTACAGACATATTAGCATTTAATATATATTAATGATATATAGATACTTGTAACAAATGTATAGTGGAATATAATTTATATATTTTGTATATTTTTTATTATTAATATAACGATATGATATTGCCAGTATTCGATAATAAATCAGTATGTATCTATCAATAAAAGGTTCAGCCAGAAAGCACGAGTTTTACTTTACAAAGCCTTGTACCTTTATGTGTTTGCTAAAAAATCATTTAATTTTTTCAGTACGAAAAGCAAGATACGTTCGCATCAACACTTTGCTATTACCATTAAAGAAGGGAATATCATATTTCGAAGAGGAAGGATGGTCTCTCCTACCAACATGTTCAAATTATACAGAACATCTAGAAGCCGTAAAAAATTTACAGAAACCACATTTCATTCAGGATTTTCATGTTCCAGAATTACTCGTCTTTCCAGTAGACACAACTTTCCATGATAATTCTAGATATCTAAATGGCGAACTTATTTTGCAAGATAAGGTAGTACTTACTTTTCAAAGACAAGTTATTTATATTTCAATTGTTTATTCACCATTTTACTCTTGTAGGCTAGTTGCCTTCCAGCAAAGTTGTTGAATCCAAAACCTGGATCAGTGGTTCTTGATATGTGCGCAGCTCCTGGAATGAAATCCACTCATTTGGCTGCATTAATGAATAATTTAGGGTATGTTCCAAACTGTGTGATATTTATGTTTTATCGATACACAATTTTTTAACTTTGTAAAATGCTTATAGGAAAATTTATGCGGTTGAGTTAAATGAACACAGATATGCTTCCTTATGCGAGCAAGTAAAACTGACTGGTGCTTCTTGCATCAATGCTATTTTAAAAGATGCAGTAACACTCAATGCAAACGAATATTCAGACGTGGAATACATTTTGGTTGATCCATCATGTTCTGGATCGGGTAAAATATTTTGTATATTAACATCTATAAAACCGTTTCACCATATAATATAAAATTAATAATTTAAAATATTTAGGTATGTTGGATAGACAGGCAATGTATGGAGACGAAAAGCTTAACGAACAGCGTCTTAAGCGATTGCAAGCGTTTCAAGTATTTCTATTGCGACACGCACTTTTGAATTTTCCCAACGTGAAAAGGGTCGTTTATAGTACTTGCTCCATCAATCAAGAAGAAAACGAAGAAGTGATAGATGAAATTTTAACTGACGTGCAGGATGCGTATGCGCTTGTAAACATCAAGGATTTGTTCAAAGAAAATTGGTTGCATTATAGCTCAGAGAAATTTGCATGTTCAAGCAAGTGTCTTTATTCAAACTTGGAAGTAGATCTCTGTAATGGCTTTTTCGTCGCAGTATTCGAGAGAAACGTCGGCGTTCCTTTACCACCGTACAGATCGAAATTTAGCACGAATAACGAGCAATTAACAGAAAACGGTGAATCTAACGTTAAAGAGCCAACTGCAACCAGGAAACGAAAGAAACGTGGAAAAAGGAGGAGCATGAATTTCGTGGAGACTCCCATAGAAGATAATTTTATACCACTTGAGAGTGGTATTTCGAGCCCTATCAATGTTTCATCCGATTCAATTGTCATCGTGGACGAAATATCTGCGAATGAAGTGGAAGAAATTGAGCCCGACTTTGTAGTGGAAAAGAAGAAAATTGAGCCCGAGCCTGTAGTAAAAAAGAAGAAAATTCAGCCCGAGTCTGCAGTAAAAAAGAAGAAAATTGAGTCCGAGCCTATAGTAAAAAAGAAGAAAGTTCAGCCCAAGTCTCTAGTGAAAAAGAAAAAAATTCAGCTCGAGTCTGTAGTGCAAAAGAAGAAAATTATTCGCAAGATGAAGAAGCAAATTAATGGGAAGACACCGTTTAAGAAACTGAAAAAAGTTGGTAAGGTGTCAAAAAAAGCGAAGAAGACAGTTTCTCCTTAGTACTGAAACTTTTTATAACGAATTAAAACAATTAATGAATTGTATGCATAGATATTGACAGTACAGAAATTTGAAAAAAAGAAAGAAAGGTTCTTATTTTTTTCCCTATCCATCTTATTTCGTATAATCCTTTTCTCGCTATTTTTAACGTTATTTCGGATAAGATCGACACTCTTTATCGGTGGCAGCACAACTTTTGTGGTACGTTTTGTCCACGACACGAAACCCTAAACATGCACCACCTAAAAGGAGCCAACACTGTGTCCTTCGCGTAGATGATGTAAAGAATTGTTTGCAATAATTGGTATACGTATTGTATGAAATACAAAAGTCTTATTATGCTTTTCATCTATTTTTCGAGTCTTGTACGATGCCTTTCCAGTCGGATGTTTTATGTATGATGAAGTACAGTAAATTAACGAATTGCTTAATAAGTTATCAAGAGCCATTACCACACGTTCGTGCTCACGCTTAATTTAATATTATTTTCTTCATGGCTCAGTGACATGGAAGTGGTTCGTTCTAAATCTGAAACCGGTGGAAATCTAAGACTCGAGGACATCGTTGAAATGTTCCTGATAATCCTTATGATGTACGAGATGTTTCCTCGATGCACCTTGAAAAATATGCCTTTGCCACATCTTATCTTACTCTCTTGTTAAAGCCAAATGTGAATGGTTCTATGTATTGTCGTGTTTGACCTACAAACTCTTTGATAAACATCACCTGATAAACCACACCCTTATAGATAGTTTGTAATATTTGATGATAATTGTAGTTGTGCATGTAAATAGAAGTAAAACTAGGTCTTCAATCATATACGCGATAGCAACTCAATCTAGGTACATTCATAATCATTTCAATTTAAGATATCACCCTGTGTAACATGTACATATACTCGTGGGGCAAGTATGAATAATGATCATAAATATAATTGCTGGTGTTTCGTTAATCACTTCAAATAATTTACATGCTTTTGCGAAACATGGAAACGTATGAGCAACGACATCAATTAATGCACCACAACAAGCGTATATTACAGAAAGCAAGGAAGACAGCGATGGCAGTAGGATAAGTGGAGGCCACTCAACTTGTAGGAGGGTGAAAGCTTTGGAGTAGGGTAACACAGCGCAAAGACGATATCACTGTAATGATTGTTCCACTCCGGGACGTGTGTCGTGCTGACCGCGTGTAATGTATTGCTGCCGTTCAGAATTACCGGCCCCAAGTTTCTGAAACAACTGTTAGAAACGTTATAGTATATCAAAATTTTTTTCACTCTGTTTTACTTCTACTATCGTAGAGCTTTACGTGTAAAATGTAGAAATTCAATAGTCCTCTGAAAAACAATAAAAACTCTTCGAATGGTTATTATTTTTTTACACGTCTATGCTTGCCTAATAAAGGGCACTGATTAAATTTAGAATTTCAAGCACGCACCTTCGTGATATTTATAGGGAAACGTCGGATATCGTTCAGGCCTCTTATCTTTATCGAGAACGACACTTTACGACTCTCTGAAACTGTGAAGAAAAGGAAAGAAAAAAAGCATCGATCAGGAATTAACTTTCGGCCAATGGCCCTTATAGTTTTATGGTAAAGTCGATACCAAGGAGGAGGAACGTTTCTAATTGTTTCGCTCTTGCTTGAAAATCCTTTCTTCATATCCTTCTGCTGGAAAACTCGTTGTTTTTCTAATTGTTCCTTTTTCAACGGAGGTACCAATATTTCCGTGACACAAAACTCGTTGACCTCGTTGGCCATCGGTGATTCTTACGTAGATTTCTAGCGCGACAGCAGTAACTTCTAAATATTGCCTTTTTCCATCGTGGGAAAGAACATTCGGTACTTGCAAACCACTCTAAAATCAGACATCATAGATTAATTACCCCTAATGTCAATCAGTAAATTATTAGAAAAACAGGCTTTGGATAATAGTGGTATTCTACTGACAGTAACGTTGACTTTCTGGAGCTGAAGAGCTGTAAAGAAAAGAGCAATTAGAAAAAGAAAAGGAGGGAATTGCAATAGTTAAGGAAAGCTGGGATTTGGTATTCACCGAATCCTGCTGATTCACGCTTACCGTGATATACGAGCCGCTTGGCCGTCGCTCGATTACTTAAGTGGTCGAGAAACGAATCTGGTCAGCCGCCTTCAACGCCAGACACGCAAACCCCGCCAAAGTATTGACTATTCCCCTTGCCAAGGAAATATTATAAAGATGACCATCGAAATTCTCTGCAATTCAATATATAATATTACTTCTAAGTCTTCCTATTATGTGTTCTTTCTCTGACAGTATGTTTGGAGTCATTACCCTGACGTAAATCTGCAACTATGTAATTCAGATTTATTCTAAAATAATCAGATATACGGTGACTTATGGACGGAAGTTTACGCGTTAAAAATGTTGGCTTACCGTTGTGAGATTACAATGAATTTTTTATACAGTTAACTAAATAATGCAGATGTAAATTTTTATGCAAAAGAAGCATCGGTGTAAGCAGGGCCTACCCTGAGATTTCGAAGATCCGAGGCGAGCTCCTTCACATATATGACATAAAAAAAGTAGCTGAAATAAAATTTATAAAATTAACATTAAAGCTTGTATAACTAATTTAGATTTGCATTTACATCGATTTCAAGTAAATATTACTCTTCTTGCATTCTTATGGGGGCCCTAGGATCAGGGCCGGCCCTGGGTGTAACGTTAATATTATCGCTCTTGTTATTCGACCTTCGCGACGGCCACAGCTTGTATCTTGTATTCATATCGCGCATTCTGCAATTCTTAAGCTTCATGTGGCTAATCATCCTGCTGGCCCTACGATAAGGCTGTGTTTCTTGCTCGGAGAAATGCAAACTTCGAGGATTGTTAAAAAGAAAAAGGAGATATGAAGTAGAAAGTAGAGCATGTTCAGTTAGAGCGTTTTTAAATTTTGAAACGTCCCATTGCCCTATCATTATAACAATCCTATCTGGAAATCTTCTTTTCTCTTGTACAGTTAATTATTCCGTATCGAGCTGTTATTTCATGCAATTATCAAAGTTCCAGTCGGTTGGACGTGGCTGTTACAGAAAAATCGATTCGCGTTACACGGTTCAAATGTTCCATATGAGATTATAATTGGTCGATTTTTTAATATACGCCAACGGATTTCATCGGCTATGGTAATGCGTCACGCTTCAGCGTGAAATGTTTAAAATACGATACAGCTACGTTTCTTCTGAGAAATCCTAATCTTCTGCACGCAAAATCTTGGATTTTCCAAAGCTCGCCATAGAGATCTCTATCCTTAATCACCTTTTGTTTCCAGCACGTTATGAAATATCGTGAATTGTACAGCTCTTAAACATTGTACAAGCGAAAACAATTGAAATTTTAAGATTTCCAAATTATTATCCAGGCTCAGCCTTAATTTTACATTACCCTCGCCATAAAATTACATTTTCTAATAAGTTCTAATATAGCTAACAGGTTCTTCGATTTCCCATTTGCGATGATTGCATCGATTATCATGGACATTGTACATTGCTCGTCGAGGCGATTTAAGCGGAAGACGAGGCTTGCGCGTAGCTTCCTGGTCGCGGTGCAACAAGTTCGGTGCTCCTTTCGCCGGCGTCGGTTCACTGACACGGACGTCGATGCCGGGAAATGTCTTGAAGGTAAGGAGAAAGGCGACGTAGACGTGGACGAGGAACACGACGGCGGCGCCGAGGTAGCGTGGTTCGTTGCTGTCCCTCGGAGCGACACACTCGACGTCGGGACGCCATCGTCGAAGGACGCATGAATATGTATACCATCGCGGTTACGCCGGTCTCTTATCTCTTACCCTGGTGTCGATGAACGATCAAGCACGGTGTTGCACGCGTTATTCTTCCATTTTCATATTTTCTTTATCTTCTTTTTCTATTCTGAAAACAATGCGTTCAATTAGAATATATTTTCAACAGTGAATAAAATAAATAATCATAAAAGTGAAAGAAATACGGTGGTGAACTTCTTGAAATCGCAACTCGATGAGAAATAGGGTGCGATGAATGAAAATGCTCCACCCCCTGCTGAGACAGAACGAATCTCCTCATGGCAAGTGCAACTACCTAGAGAAATAAACTGAGTCAGTATACGTTAGTTGGAAATTTTTAAATGAACTCTCACGGTTAGATGCGCCTCAATGGTTGAAGATATCTGGCTGGTTAAATCGGTGCTCAGAGTTCATGACCTCAGTATACGCTCTTCAAGGGTGGACGATGGTGTAAAGCGGTTACGTGATGTTGGTCTTGAACCATGGAACCTCTTTGTTCGAGATCAGTGTATATAATAGATATGTGCTGTTAAATACTTAAAAGCTAACTAATTTACCAATTAACCAGCTTAGAATCTAACTAACGTAAATCTGTTACATCGCTACCACAGAGTTCGTGACCTCAGATAACGCTCTTCAAGGGTGTAACAGTGTAAAGCATTTAACGTGACGTTGGTCTTGAACCATGGAACGTTTTCGTTTACCCAAGTGTACACGATAAACTTGTGTTATAAGACACACGGAAGTATTCTGAAACTGAGAGACTGAGTTAGACAAGTTTGGAGAACCTAATTATAATTGTTTTCTGAAAGGGTACATTTGATTACATTGGACAAGATGAAGTCAATCGATTGATCTGCAGTAAACTGCAGGTACACTGTAAAAGTGCATCGTAAGGGTTGACCAGTCAATCGATCAGGAATCCCTGGCAATCACGCGACACGTGGACGTTCTGCCGGCATATAAGAGGCTCTCGCCTTTTTTTCTTCCTCGACGACGCTTCCTCGTGTGTTGCGGGTGTAGGGGTGAAAAAAGAACCTTGAATTTTTTAAAGGGGAAAAAAGGATTTAACAATCCATCAATTTTGACAAGCAATTTTACGGAGGAACCGGTTGGAAACACTGGCTACCATCAGTTGATCGTCAAGGTACGTAGAGGCAACAACTTCAACTTTAGCTAACTTGAAAATTAATTAATTTCAAAGCTAACTTAAGTTGGAAGTTAATTAACATAGGAATCAACTAATCTAGAAGTGAATTAATTTTGAAATGGTGATACTTAAAAGAAAAGTTCGAATCAACGATGGTGGTCGAAAGTTTTTCAAATTCCTATTTTCAGGAAGCCAAGAAGCGGAAAAGGGAGAGGAGGCAAAAGGCGTCGGCTTTGTGCCGATGATCGCCGCTGAAAATCAGTCGAGTTTGCGTGCCGGCTCCAGGCTGGGGCAGTACGAGGAGGTAGCGGGTGACGGAAGCGTGGGTGGTGGCAACGAGGCTGGTGGAACCGCAACCACTACCTCGGAGCCAGGTGAGAGAGCTAATTATCCAGCAAGATTATCATCACCAGACTGTTCTGAGAAACGCAACTAGATCTTTGAAGTGATACTCGCAGTGCAACCCCCTGTGGAATATTTTAAGCATTTCTATCTCCCTCCTCCCCTTACTCGATGCTCTACGTTTCATTATGAGACTCTATAAAATTAAAGATTTACATTTTTGCTAGAACAGACATTAAAACATCATAAGATACAAACAATGGTCTTAGTACTAAATTAATGTAAGAATTATTTAAAATTCTTTGTAATAGCAAAACGGTTTAGATGATTCTGTTTTTATTAAAATTCAGGTGTAATGCAAAAGGAGGAGCAAGAGGTGGCGCAAAACGAGAACTCTTCGAAAGAACCGAACGCAGTAACAGTAACTACACCTAGCGGCGTCGCGACGACGGCGTCCACGGTGACCACGACACCCGCGACCACGTCGACCACGATGCCAGGTGGAGGCGCTCGCAGCGATGACGAGGATGAGGAGGAGGAGGAGGCCGAAGAAGAAGAGGAAGACGTGGAGGAAGAAGAGGACGTGGAAGTGGAGGGTGGAGCGGCGCAGGAGGCGGTCGGCGGAGGTGTTCTGACGAACGAGGGTGGGGGTGGAGGCGGCATGGCCGGCTTCTGGAGGCAGAGTAGACCCTCCAGTCCCCGCATGCCGCCTCCGGAGCAGCCGGAGCACAGGCCTAAGAGCCGACACGAGCCGGCGCCCGCGAGATACAACAACCTCGGTTACTGGAGGGCCAGAAGGGTGACATTCTACAAAAATGGCGACCCGTATTTCCCTGGAATCGAGTTCAGGTACGTCCACCGTTATCTCCCCTTTTTCGCTGTGATTGTGTTTGAATCGTGCTCCCTCGTTGTCCAAGCTATGTGGGCGCTTAAAACGCTAGTACCCTCTTCGGGTGCAGGTGGCGTGTCCACCTTTCGTGGCCTTGATTTTGACCTATGAATGAGATCCTCCCTGTGACACACGAAAGATACTAGCTAGTACAGCTCGATTGAAACGTGTTACCGATAGGATTCGAACACAAACATCGTTAGTTTCGAGTATCGCATAGTAACAAAGTTTCCTCACCTGAACGTGACTGACAATAGTTCACCGTTTGTAGGTTTAAGCCAGGAAGGGACATCGGTTCCTTGGAGGCGCTCCTGGATAGATTGTCCCTTCGAATGGACCTGCCAAGAGGAGCAAGGCACATCTTCTCGATGGACGGAGACAGAAAGATCACCCTGGACGAACTTGAAGACGGTGCCTCGTACGTTGTATCCAGCTACAAAACGTTCAAGGTAAGAATTCCTTCGTATGTTATCATTGAATACGATTCTAGAACGAAGAGTCGTTAGCTGTCAGTGAGGGAAAAGCTGCAGAAATACAGCATTTCGATCCGTACATTGTAACGTATACGTCCCTCGTAAGATCGCTTGGAAAAAAAAGGGTCTTAATCGCTGTTGGAAAAGTGGGTCGTTCGATCTGATACATTGCACGAAGAAGAAATAAGGTTCTTGAGACACAAGATCGCGTGTGTGTTTGTGTGTGTATGTGTAGATCGAATCTCGGTTCAGGTAACGCAACCCCTCCACCTTCAGCGAGAGAACCAATCTCATTACGGCTACGATAATTCAGCACGTGCAAGGACTTGTCGTACGGCGAAAAGTAAATATCCTTCTGGTAGATGTTGCCTCTAATCGTTTGTATAATTAAACCGAGAAGTCGGCTGGTTGGTATACACTCTTAATATTCATGAGCCGAGCACGGTGGTGGACGTAAAACCAACGGGCTTCCACAATGCGTGCCTGGACATTGCCAGACACGCGTACAAACGTACACGTATTATGCTGAAGAGTTTAAGAGGGTTGGCGAGGACGCGATGTGGCAATTTATAAGAAAACTGCGTGTATTTACCGTCTACGATGTTTGTGTATCTGGCCCAGATCAACCCTTAAGCAGGCCACACGCAACGCCAATCTGACTGATTAGCTAAAAAGAACGATTATTATTACTCTTTATGTATTGGTTTTCTATGATAAACATGTACGCAATTGAAACTTCATAAACAATAATTAATGCTGCTTAAGTTTTCATGCCATAGCTCCAGATAATATAGGGTCATTAGAGGATTAAGATCTGCAAACAATAAGGTTGATAATTGAACTAGAAAATTTTACAAGGTTACAGTGAAGTAATGTAATAGAAATCTTTGGAATTACCTAATCATATGTAATAGAACATCCTAGCCAATATGGTTTGTTGAAGATTCATTAGTTAATCAGTGTATTCTATGGCGTAGCACATTCTTTGTTAAAGTATATAACAAAGTGTCATTTAAGTGACAAGAAATAAGACTCTGAAAGGAAAATATACCATGATAAAGATCCTCTAACTTTGAGGCTTTGACGTAGAATGAATGAAAAGTAAGGCCGATCGAGAAGGATTCAGTGAAAAATGGGCCAATTAACTGGTGAAACCTTTCAGCCAGATTCAACTGTAAGGCCACAGGATATTCATTATTTTTATGAAGGTGCTGATAGGAAGGATTGGTTTCACCTACGCTGCGTCATGGCACGGTTAAAGGGTGGCCCACGCCCAACCTGATTTCTAGGTTTTAAGGTGTGACCAGGCCGCTCGTTAAACGTATATCGTCGCAGTTTCTGCCTGGCTTTATGTACGTACGATACGTTATTTCGATCGGCGCTGGTCTCGTGCCGGGTCAACCGTTAATCCGGTAAAGTGGTCAAAGCTTATACACGATCCTATCGTTCTATATGGAGGTCTTTGCATGCCGATTGCACCAGATTGCAGTCCAGAATCTGTGTTTACATTTTCGTGACCCGTATTTGTACTTGACCTATATAAAAAATTAGGCGAATCCCAAAATTAGATGAGTACTCAATGGAATCCTCAAGTATTAGATGAGTAGCCAAGTGCTTTCTTCTTTACTTCATTGATGTTACCTCTGTCATCCTACAATTGGATTAAAAAAGAATCATCTGAAATTCTTCTAAAGATCATCCTTTTTGCCATTAACAATTTTCTCACCTTTGAGAGAACTGCAGTCACCCTGTGTCAGGTTGATTCAAGCATTGTTTACCAAAGCCACGTGGCATGGAAGATCGACGTGTCACGTAAGGTGAATCTGCGGTTTGGTGGTAGGGATGTGAACGAAAAGGGGGAGCAAGTATAGCCATAGGGTCGGCCTGGAAGTAGGGGTGAAAAGGGCTGGACAATCGAGGCTGCGGTTGCGCAGCAATCGCTTCCTTTCTCCCTGTCTTCGATTCTTCTTCTCCTACCTGATCCTCAGTCCAGCTGAGAAATGGTACACTATCCTATTTTACCGAACAATCGCCTTATTATCCTGCACCCGTCCGCATACTTTCACCTCCTTCATAGTAACGATCAATCCATTTCTTCCATCGCGATAAACGCTGTGTCATTAAGTGGTCTCTGATTGTGCCATTTCTTCACCTCTTTACGACCTACATTTTCTTTACAATATTTTTGTCGTCAAGAGAAAACTTGTCTCTGTCGTCTGAAAGAAATTGGACTTTGCTACACTTATTTGGACACGTGTATAAATGGACAATGCCGCTAGAGATTGGTTGCTACAATTATTCTTTTAAATACAATACTGATTGTTGCATACAAAAATGGCCAATGTTACGTTCTTGTAAGAAATCAAAAGTGTCAGGTATACGTGACACAGCTAGCAACCATGTTCTAATTATAAATTCTAAGTGTCGAGTCACGCCACTCGATGCTTTTGATTCTTCGAAATCATTGTTGGCGCTGATTTTCCACCGAGCCTCTCCAAGAAGATATGAATCACGCGTGGTAGGATGGAGGGTAGGCGGTGGGTCGGTTCGTACTTCCGTTAAGGAGACCGATGCAGGGCTCTCGTAGGGCGGCTACCAAGGGAGAGACCGTATCTCATTGACCGTTGGTCAGCCCGCAAGGGATCAATAAACACGAACTTCTCTACACGGACGATTCACAAACTGCGTTTCTACCATTCCTTCTCTAGAAGCTTGACGATGAAATTCTTCAGGATTCTTCGTCGATTCAAATGTATACCTCCTTATTCCCTAAAACGTGAAAGAAAAGTTATCGATCTTGCATACTGAAACGATACCTCTCGCCATTTTTTAATCATGCAAAAGACAGTGGTAACAGAATGAAAAATTAATTGTAACGGAAGCAATGCGGTGAGATATAGCGTCGATTACAGACGGTTGTCAGTTGACGCAATCAATTATGCTCCGACTGTCTCTCGCAACGGCGTTACTACTGCGGTCGGAAGTAACAGTTTATTACTACTGCAAACCTCCAGCTAACATACAGGGTGTTAACAAAGTAACGGTCGCTGAAGTAAGATTATATTATATGAAGATTAGTAAGAAAACGTATTCATGAAATTGAAGGTGTTGCATTCTACTTGTTACAAGGACAAGAAGTTCCAATACAGTTATGAAAGAAATAATTAGGACTCTGTGAAATTCTGTGTAGTACTTGGAACGATCCCTTTGGTACGAACGCGCAACAGTGACACAGGTCGATGATAAGTCGGGCATTGATGTCTCCGACAATTCGATTGCTTGTTACGACTATGTATCACTGCTTTACTTTAGTTAATTAATTTAATAGAGGACCGGCCCTGAGATTTCGAGGGTCCGAGGCGAACTCCGAAAAAGGGTCCCTTCGCATATATGACATAGAAAAAAGTAGCTCGAATAAAATTTATAAAATTAACATTAAAGCTTGTGTAACTAATTTAGATTTGCATTAACATCGATTAATATTCAAGTAAACATTACTCTTCTTGCATTCTTAAACGCAAAATTGCCTTATGGGGGCCATGGGCCCAGGGACAGCCCTGCACCTAATCTAAATGTTGAATTCTACATTTGTGTCATTAATTATTCCTATTGCATTGTACTGAACCTCTGACTGCGGGAAACGATTCATAAATTGTCGAAATGACTCATCAGTTTTCTTTTCGCTGATCAACCATAATCAAGTTGTATCGCTCAGAGAAGAAAAATAAGTGAAATATTTAGTCAGCATTATCAAGGTGATCTTTATATGTTTTCTTTTTTATGGATAACAAAAACTACAAAAGAACAACCCTTTCAAGTTTTCTACCACGCTTTAAAACTTGATAAGTGAAAGGTCACCCTGATAAACGCTCTTTAAAAAGAAATATATTACCTTGTGCACTTTTTTTCAGGATACACAAGATTTCCGTTCGAAATCAATTATTTTCTTCTTCAACGTTAAGACATCTATTTCTGAACGCTGATAGATCATCGCCAAGCCCTGGTTCTAACACGTGAATAATCGTCGCCGATTGTTTCTTTGTAATCGTTGCGACACATTTCGAGCACAAAACGATCTGTCACGCACGTTACATGCTCGTTCTTCATTTTCATATCGCGGTGTAAGTCCAGTTGGCGATAACGAGTCCTCCTTTCTTTCAGAACCGTACATTTCGCCCGGGTCGCAGCGTAAATTCATAAGAGGATAACACGGTCTAGAAAGAACTAATCGTTGGTCAGCTTGAAATTCGTGTCAGCCACCGAAGTCACGAATGAACGAGACAAAGAGTTTTGCGTGTATCTGACCTACATGCGTCACGAAATTCCATGGAACAGTCGGTTAAAAAAGCAAGAAACGATCTTAAAAAACGTGTCGAAAAGCAGACGCGAGTTCTGTCGCGTAAACATGTCAGAGCTGATACATAAATTTTCCTAAATTTTAGTTGAAAAGTTTAAACTCTTTTAACGTGTACCGTGTTTCAAGAATATTAGGAGGGTAGTTACAAGTTTCACAAGGTCTACCCTAAAATTTCGTCCTTTCTTATCAATTTTTTGACCAGCGAACTGGTTGCATGTCCGGTCTTACAATTAGATTAATTGCATGCTGAATAATGAGGTGGACGAAAAATATTTGCACCGATAAACCAGGGAACCGTCCAGCTCGTAAATTTCTTCGATATCCGTTGTTGTTTCTCAAAAGAGTGCATGCCCTAAGGCAGTTCACTTTAATTCGCCGTACGTTGATCCTGATAGCCGATATACCCTTAAATTGCCTAATAATCACACGTTCAGTCAAATCTGATTCCATAACTGTCTTCCTGCAATGAGTATTCCAATCAACAGAATTTCAATTCACTGTTTCCTCGTATGCTTTTCAATTTCCCTGAGTTGTTACGTTTTAGCGTGCATGAAAATTTGCATTTTGGATAATGTCTTGTATGCTGGTATTTTTAGTGATTCAATTTACCATCATGAAATAAGGGAAACGTGTACACATGATTGTCCCGGGTTTCGTGCTTTCTGAATTATTAGGAATATACATCATTTCAACACTGGTATATCTACTGCATCTAATTGCAGAACCTCTAATATCCTTGCCTGAAAGCAAAAGAAATGGTAATAATGGAAGTGGACATACATATATAGAGCGTTACATGCAACTGGGATAAATTATAGCTTTTAAGTATACCTTATTAGCAATAAAAGAATGTCATTACATTTACAATATCAGAGTGATTTACCGGCAAAATTTTCAATAGAATGCAGTTACAAATTTTTAAACTCTCTGAATATATTATATTACCAGTAAATTCTGAATGAAATTTATTTCCTCTTTCTTCTCATAAAGTTAAGAAATTATGCTACCATTGTATCAACACGCACGATTATGCGTGTACCAATTTGTAATCCGCAGGGGGAAAAAAAAGGTGGGTAAAAAATGGTAGGTTCCATGGTGAACACAATACCGGGAGTCACCTACTTTCTTTCCATGTTTTATCGCGGAACGCGCAGATTCGTGTTCTTGTTCGCATTGCGATCCGTAGGTCTGTTCATTTATCGCCAGTTGTCGGGCTGAATATGCATGAGACGGGATTCGAAACGAAATGAATTTCGGTAGGTCGATTAGACGTCGTTTCGAGAAAACGGTCGTGCCACGATCGTTTCTGGTGCGTATACAGCCACGTAGCTAGATGACGTGTACCGATCGACGATATGTAAATCACTGCGGCATCCCCGTCTCTATGCTACTCGTTGCCTTTTAACCCAGCTCCCCGTTGCACGCTTGTCGCAGAACGTTCGCAGGACAACTACCCTCTGTGTTACACCTTTCCTTGCGTGCCACCCTCACTCGTCACGCACCTCCTGTAATATATGTCAATTACGATTTCAAACTTCTTGCATGCATAAGTACCTTCGTTAACACTGATTTTCAATGGAATACTGGCTTTATCGAGTCACGTCTTATTGAAGAGTTAATAAAACTAACCGTTGAGTAGTGCTACGAGCAAATAAACTGTGATATTTAAGCAGTATTCATTTATGGACGTAGGATTTATATTATTCATACTTAGCATTTAATTAGAAAGCAATGTATTAAGTACTAATTTCTAAAGCATTGGGACCTACACTGCCCTCCATAAGTCACCGAACACTCTTTAAAATAGAATACTCTTTTTAAAATTGGACCAAATGACTTGATGTTTCCCGAGAAGCTATACAAATTAATTTACTAAGATATATGCTTATGTCGTTTTAAAAAATTACAATTTGTTGAAATCATGAAAAAAATAGTGAAGGATAATTTTTCAACTTTTATGTGTAAGTTTATAATGAAAATTTAAAATATGTTTTTCGTAGATTCAAATAAGCTATCGATATCAGTCAATGCACTTTGAAGTTACGAGTAATTAAAATTTCAGAAAATCGCGATTTTTCATCTAAGAACATAATTAGTCATGTTCTTAGATTTCAGATGAAAAGTCATGATTTTCAGAAATTTTAATTAATCATAACTTTTAAACGAAATTTTCAGCATACACGTAACTTATTTGAATCTACGAAAGGCAAATTTTAAATTTTCATTACCAGGCTGAAATAAAAAAGTTAAAAAATTGTTTTTTACTATTTATATCCTGATTTCGACAAATTGTAATTTTTTAAAACGACTTAATAAATTAATTTGTATAGCTTCTCGAGAAACCTCAAGTCATTTGGCCCAAATTTTAATAAGAGTATTCTGTTTTAAAGAGTGTCCGGTGACTTATAGACGTCAGTGTATATAGTTTCCATATACCTCAAAAAACTTTCCCTGTTACCAGCTTCAATAATACAGAATTTAATTGTACAAATTCACTGTTCCATCGCGGTTCCAGCAAGTTTTCCTATTCGTGTCTTATAGCTGTGCATGAAAGTAATAATAAGCAGAGCTAGGCGATCGTCGCAGAAAATCAAGCTTACGTTGTAAGCCACGTGAGATCGATGATAAAAGAAGGAAAGAAAAAATGTTTCGTGTTAATCGGGCCGAGCCGAATTAACTCAACGGTCGCGTCGTAAACAGCTTATCGTTGCATAGGGCCTTATCACCAGCCAATTATCGTACCCGGCACATGCATCAAATGGCATATGGAAATTGTGGCAAATATATACATTTTATATAGCAAATCCGGACTTCAACTGTTGCGAGTCACTTTAAAACATCCTCCTGAAAATTATAAGTATTCAAGATTAATAAACTTGCTTCAAATATAAAAGAAATTTATGAAATAGAAATGATTGTTACTTTGTTGCAATTCTTGGTGACACGAAGTTAAAGAAGTCAATTAGGTTGAACTAGTTGAATGATAATCCATAGTCAATGACCTGTTTCCAAAGGTGAAGGGTTGAAGTAGAGGGAAGCGACCTTTCGACCGTCTAGGTTCTCTTATCATCAAGGTAAATGGTCAAGAAGGATATTCACCCCTTTAAAATGTATTGCTGCTTCAGTTTATACAGGGTGACCGTATAAAACTTTGGTTCATAATCTTATATTTCAATTGAAAATGATTTTGTCCGCCATGTAAAAGGAAGCCTCAAGTCTAAATGTATTCTTGTGAATCCTATTGGTATTGGTATACCTATGATGAATATCTTATAAATATGAATTATGCAGGAGTTTGATAACATGGAAATATTTGAAGGCTGGAATATTCTTGATAACCTTTAGAGTTGGTATTTTTCTTCAGAATGTGTAGGTTCTAAGATTTATTGGGTTTCATTATCCTGAGAACTGAAAATCACAGCTAATATGCAAAACACCTAAAAAAAATCAAGTCAAATCATAATTGTTAAGAGATGATGCTATAACAAACATAGAAATCTTCCATAAAGATTAACGGATATAAGATGATCCTTTTTCAGTACAGAAAGAAAAAAAAATTGAAACCCATTGAAGAGGGTTGTTGTACCACAAGATTGAATCAACGCAAGGGGTGCACGACCGAGTAAATGCGTTAAAAGGTTAAGGGTTGTAGCACCCATGGTGAACCCAGTCGAGACGAGGGAGCACCCACGCGTACTTTCGTTACACCTTCCGTTCGATCGGCATTGCATACCTCGAAGTGGAAGATTGTTGCACCGTGACCTTGGCCTAGCAACGAAGATATGCATTACATTACACGTGCGAGGAATTGCATCGTAATTTACAAAGACAGTTTGATAAATTAGAATGCAAACGTACTAGACTCTCCTCAATGGAGTTCCTTTTCTTCTTCGTCTTCTTCAAAACATCAAGTTTTTCAAACTGGTATTATGCATTACAGTACGAAGAGTATCAATTTTATATTAATTATTGTTCTTTAAGAAAGAGTATCTGAACATGATCTCTGAGATTCGTAAAACACTACCACGGTTTAGTGAACAGTAACACGCAACGTTCGGTAGAGTACAATTTTGAAGCTTAATTTTGCCCAGCGACAAACCCTAGTAATTACCACAAGAATCGTCGATCTAATCTATCTAAGATATTATTCCGTTGACGTCGAGGTGAAGAATTATTTTTAGAGTGTAATTTATTATTAGACACACCTTCGTGAGCAGCTGGTCTTTAGACGTTTGTGATCAATTTGATGAAAACACGTTGATTACAAGTTTGACTGAACTCGATCAAATTGAGACAATCGAACAAAAGAAATTTAAAATCAGACTTAACGCCTAACTGCGAGTTAACTTGAAAGATGAAGAGATGTAAGAACTTATTAAAATCTGTGTAACTTGAAGAGCTCTCCTTGTTAACATGGCCCACAGTCACACTGGTTCCATGTGTAAGGTAACGAGGCGAAAGGCCTTCCAGATAGTTGCAATAAAGAAGCCAGGCAACCTTGAACAGAATTCACGAGGCTCGTTAAAAGGCTAGCACGTGAGAGATTTCGCTAGTGACGTTGCAATTTATGTGGTATATTCATTATTCCAGTGAAATCTATTTTTTTTCTCACAGACGATAATTAGGGACAAGCCAAATTTAATATCAGAATAATGACAATAAATCTCTGATAAGGATGAACAATATTCTTCAGGTGAAACTAACTCGCTGTAAAGAAATAAGAACAGTTTAATTTAAGATCACAATTAAATTTCCAGGTTGAACACTTTATTCATACCTTTCTTGCTGGCTACTTGCAACCGATTATTCTTCTTGACCCAAATAATTAATGCAGAATCACGTTGTAAAAAATGGCACATTTTCTTCATCGTCGTGACGTTCTACTTTAAAAGTCCCTTGAGTTATTAACACGTTATATATTTTCCGAGTCACCAGTGGCCCGTAACATTAATTCAACACAGTCGGAATCAACCGGATTACAGTACCATGGGTGCTTATTAAATCTGAAAAGGATAATTCAGATCAGCGACAAAAACACGAATGACCTCCGTAAGGGTTAAGCTTACGTCACAAGAGGGGTAGGTTGCCGGAAATGGTGGCCGGGTGTGCGAGAATGAGAGGGTCGTTTGACCTTCACCGTGTGTTAATCTATGCTTCCATTATCATACCAATCCCATCAAAGCTGGCATTGCATTGCAACTGCACGACGATGAACGTACATACATTCGGTTATCGGTCGATCGAGCTGCTTTTCAATGAAGGATTTCTTCCAATGCCGCTGTCCATATCGTTCCCATTATCGCATCTGTAAATTGAATATTGCTATTAGTACAATATAATAGTAACGCGGTGTACTTGATCAGAAATGATCGTTTGATAGCAGTTAAGTGTTAGTGACAAATCTGAAATGATTTTTATAAGCAACCATGACAAGCTTATCGAATCTCTGGCGCACTGCCGGCAACAGCGTGCGTGTCTCGAATTCATCAGTCGGTTTATTAGACTATTAGCCTCGTTAACGTTTTTTTTTCTCTCTCTCTCTCCCCTTTCAGCATACTTTGAATATTGACCCTATTTAGCCAATCAAGGTAATTGGTCGGACGCGATGCCACTTTCCGTGAACAACCGGGACCTTTTCTATTCCACGTGGGTGTGTACCCTGTATCCTTAATTCCAAGGAATCCTTTTAGGCCTCGTTTCCTATCGCAGAACCCTCGTTACCGGGTGTCTATCAACTCACCATTTAACCGTACTTCCGATCTGCCAATCATCATTTTATTCTTCTTCCACGAGAATATACCAAACAATGGAGAATCATCTAAAATACAAGAATCCTTATTACTAACAAGGATAAAAAATAATTGGAAAAATTGGAAAGTTCCATAGAATTCTAAAATACAATGCATAGCCTTAAACTGTGTCAAACTTTGAAACGAACCCTGAAAAGGTCGAAATAATTCTATGATGTACGATAAACTATATCACAGTTTATTGAGTCACCTATCGAAGGGGTGGCTGTTTGTCCTTGAGACACGATGGCCCTCCTGGCGAGCGAAGCGAGGGGGTAGGGGATGTTGCAGCCAGAGGGCTGGAGAACCAGCCCAATGGGGAGTAGCACACACCCCGCCTCCAGTTGTCCATCGAACACAGTCGGGGTTGCACCTAGTGGCACAACCCTCTCGCGATCCTCCTTCCTTCGGCACCACGTTTCTCTTAATTTCTTCGTGATTCATCCGAATATAAATCAGCAATTCATCAAGGTCGAATCTCAGCGTTCTCCTTATTTTTTATTTTTTAATATAAACATCCATAGACAACCGAGACAGTCTTCCATCTTAAACAAAATACAGTTCATCTATTAATAATTTGTTATTAGTGTATCTGATATTGTATGAAGAGACACCGTGAAAAGTGTGAGCAAGTGAGGAATATGTGAATGTACACATAAAAGTAGAGCTTGACGTTCGATGAAACGTATCCAGGGACCGTGAATCTCGTTACGGGGGATTACAGTGATCTAGGTTCACCATTGAGTCGGCAAGTTGCTCGTCCCGTTCGGACCTGGAGCCGGACTTTGTCGCCGGCGAGAAGGCGGACTCTTATACCGATTCCGACCTAGAGTCCTGCAGCCCCAAATCCTGGGAGTGCTGCGACAGTTTTGTCGTGTTGATGAGCGATTCCTTTGAAGTTATATCGCTGCCGGCCGATATGCTGCAGGTCCTTTTGATATTTCACTTAAACCCATACGACAGGCAATATGTATGATTGATGGAATAATTACAGTGAGATTGATGTAACAAATAGCGTACATATACTTGAATTAATTCCATCAATCGCATTTGTACATAATGTCTCCTTCTCTAAATTCATCATTTCATATTTCACCCAACAGCCGGCCAGCTATGGAAAGAAGAATAACACCTGGTACACGAGCCCCACTGGCGCGGGTAGCAGAGGTGGAGCGGGCGTCGGAGGTGGTGTTGGAGGTTGGCAAAGTAGACCACCGGCGGTGGCGAGCCTCAGCAGGAAAGCTTCAATCACCGACGAAGCACCACCTCCTGGTGGTGGAAAGCCTTCCTCGGGACGTGTCATACGTATCGTTAACAATCACGATCACACCGTACAGGTAATAGTAACACCTGAAAACACGTATGCTCGATTAATCTTTGACAAGAGATTATAAACTGATAAAATTGTAATTTAATTTTCAGTGTAGAGTCTTGTTGAACCTACGCACTTCTCAACCATTCGAGGAGGTGTTGGAGGATCTTGGACAAGTATTGAAGATGAATGGGGCCAAAAGGATGTTCACAGTTTCGGGTCAAGAGGTATATCTACAAAAAGAATGAAAAATTTTATTATTGTTTCGAAAAGATGACGTGTCTGGTGATCGATTTATTTCACGTTCGTGAACGAGCGAAACGTGGGCGACTACGAAAGTTTATCAGCGATTTATGCAAATCGAAGACATTGGTTCACCATCGTACTTATAAAATCTGCTTGAATAATGTTTGTCCATAAATATGCATAGGATGGTGGGGGTAAAAGCGTCGAAACGAAGCGTGACGATATCGGGGTCGACTTCACTCTAAATGGAATAGGGTCGTTGCTGAAACTCTTTCCTTTCTTATTTTCTGATCAAGAAATTTTACGAAAAGTTGCGATATAATTTTAGATACCAATACTTCTTCTTTCTTTTACTTTTCTTTATTCGAATTCCCAAAAGAATAAACCAGTCTTTTAGTCAGAATAGTGTGTGTGAAGTAGAACGAGAGCCCATGGGGAAAAAGGTCAGAGATCCATCTTTTCAGGTCACGACCGTATATGAATTTCAAATTGACCAATTTTCTTTAGCGAGCATTCGACTGACTTATACATCATCGTATACACCTGGTGCCGCCTACGTCAGCTACGATGACGTTCCGGATACTATTCTGACACCAGAGAAAATGTCTTGGTTCATTCATTTCAACATCCGCATTTCCTTCCTCTACATTTCTTCATATAGAATACATCACCAACAGAAAATACAACAGATTCTCCATTCTAGAATAAAGAGAAAAATCTTTACCATCTAATATTGTAAGATCTTTTTGTTAAATTTCAAATTCGAAGCCAAAGATATTTGTACTGTGAACAGGTAAGAAGCTTCTCGCAGCTGAGGAACGAATTCGCAGACGTGGACACGTTCTACTTGGGCACTGGATCCGGGATAGGTATGGCCGGTGCGGTGACTGCATCTCCAGCAAGAAGATCCAGGTCGAGAGGACCGCCCACGGTGGTCGAAGACATTGGTCGTCAACGACGAGCTCGCAGCAAAAGCAGACCTCGTGCTTTGTACGCCCCTGATTCAGACGTCGTCCGAGTAAACGGTTCTCCATACAGCTTCGCTTATTCGTTACTACAAGTCAACTTAATTCAAACAACAAAAACGATGCGATATTTATTTTTTAAACAGATTACAGCGTGGTAGAAGTGTTAAGGGACGAACCTGCCAGAGTGACGATCAGAGGATTAAGAAGATCCTTTTATCCACCTTCTCATTTACCACCGGTGGACAATTCACCGCCGGATAAGAAACTGCAGCTCGAATGGGTTTACGGATATCGGGGCACCGATACCCGAAGAAATCTCTGGGTATTGCCCAGTGGCGAGCTCTTGTACTACGTCGCTGCCGTGGCTGTTCTCTTCGACAGAGAAGAAAATGCACAACGGCATTACGTGGGCCACACCGAAGACATTACCTGCATGGAGGTAGCATTACATCTACTTCACACCTAAACAATTACAGATTATATTAAATGCTTTGAAATAGTCTTAATAGTCTTAATAATTGATATTATATCATTAATATTGATATTATACCAGCTTTGCACAGATCAGCAATAGCGTGTTTACAAAAATTTTTATTAACTATGAGTTATGTAAATGGTTGAACAATCCATTCATGAAAAGGGCCATGCCCTTACATTCAAATGAATAAATAAATAGTGGAATGTATAATTGGTAAAATAAGTTGATCAGTCTTGCTTCACCTACAGCCTTAAAGTAGTAATAATTTAGCAGAACTGCTTTCTTCTTCTCCAGGCAATGAATGCATCAAAAATGGGCATCGGAATGAAATCAAGTGTTTCAACGTGTTTGCCCACAGGTTCACCCAAGCAGAGAGCTCGTGGCATCCGGGCAAAAAGCTGGTAGACACAGAAAAGCGCAACCACACGTTCGCATATGGTCAACAGAGACCTTGCTCACTCTGTATGTGTTCGGAATGACTGAGTTCCAGATGGGAGTCTCCGCCTTGGCATTTTCGCAGCTGGTAAAGCATCGTATCTAAAAAAGAATTGAATAAGGAGTATATACTTTTTACGTTCTCTCCATGCCTATGTTTTTGTATACAGAACGGTGGAAGTTACGTGCTGGCAGTAGATGCCGGTAGAGAGGCAATACTCTCGGTATGGCAATGGCAATGGGGTCATTTATTGGGTAAAGTGGCGGTGAGTCTAAAGTTGGTGAAAATAACTTCGCGAGGGATTCGTTAACCCTCTATTGCATTCCGTTCCTCCCAATTGGGAACTTAAATTTCAAATGTTCTATAGTAAATTAAGTAGACAATACTGAAGACTCTGAGTTGGTTCCAGTTCTAATAAAATTTTATTATTTATTTCATGACCACGCTCATATTTTAAGTAGACTAACAGCCATATATATTTTTTTCAACTCGTCATAAAAATTCATGCAATAGAGTGTTAATGTTCCTAGTACAAAATGGCAGATATACTGTAATACTTCTTTTCTACAGACTATGCAGGAAGATCTCACAGGGGCTGCCTTCCACCCCCTCGACGATAATCTACTTATAACGCACGGTCGGGGTCATCTGACATTCTGGAACCGACGAAAAGATGGTTTCTTCGAGAGGACAGACATAATCAAACCCGTAAGACGCGACAATTGGAACAACCTTATCCGTTCTCTCGAACAATTTGTTAACTTGACTTTCCTATTTAAGCCTTCTCGTACGCACGTGACGAGCATCCAGTTCGAGCAAGACGGGGATGTCGTCACGGCGGATAGCGACGGTTTCATCACCGTCTACTCGGTGGATGCTGATGGAGCGTACTTTGTACGAATGGAATTCGAAGCGCATAATAAAGGCATCAGTTCTTTGGTGATGCTATCAGAAGGAACGTTGCTCTCCGGAGGAGAGAAAGATCGCAAGATAGCCGCGTGGGATTCTCTTCAGAATTATAAACGAATAACCGACACGAAGGTACAATGTTCCAAAACATTTCAAAGTAAGAAATTGTTTCAAGGTTCCAACGATAAGCCACTAATCAAAATATCAGGGTTCGAATCGCAGCCTAATAAAATCTAATCGATGGAATATTTTTCTTATCTTAAAGATCAAGCATGACCTACTCCTTCAGAATAACGTTTCCTTTTGTAGTTGCCAGAAGCAGTAGGAGGAGTTCGTAGCATTTACCCTCAGCGACCGGGAAGGAACGATGGAAACATATACGTAGGAACCACCAGGAACAATATACTGGAGGGTTCTCTTCAGAGAAGGTTCAATCAGGTGGTGTTTGGCCATGGTAGACAGTTGTGGGGACTTGCGGTACATCCTGACGACGAGGTGTTCGCCACAGCAGGCCACGACAAGAATATTGCTCTCTGGCGAAGACACAAATTGTTATGGACAACGCAGGTAATTAATTGAAATAATAAATTTCAATGAAAATTTAATCGTAATGAATCTGTACTATTAATTAAGCGTTCTTGTAGGTCGGTTTCGAATGTATCTGCATCGCTTTTCATCCTTTTGGAGTGGCACTAGCTGCTGGCTCATCCGAGGGTCATCTTCTGGTTTTGGCAGCAGACACCGGTGCGGCTGTAGCTACCCTTAGAGTTTGTGGTTCACCTTTATCATGCATTGGCTACAATCCAAGTAAAATACGATTTTAAGAAACAGTATAGTACATAGAGTTGAAATTTAATATAGACGGAGAATAAATATACGAGTTGGCTTCTTTTAAACAGCTGGAGAAATCGTGGCGATGGGTTCTCAGAACGGTAGCGTCTATCTCTTCAGAGTATCTAGAGACGGATTCTCCTACAAGAAGAGCAACAAAATACGTGGAACGCAACCGTTAGTGCAGCTCGACTGGAGTTCTGACAGCAGATTTCTTCAGACGGTCACGCAGGACTACGACCTAGTGTTCTGTAACGTTATTCGTTCATTACATTAGAGCGTTCCTTATCAAATTTAATCGCAATCATATTTTAAATATAACATAAATAATATTACTTCAGGGGACGTGAAAGCGTTGTCATCAGAGAAGAGTCCGCTAGTCATGAAGGATGTAAAATGGTACACTCATAATTGCATGGTTGGCTACATGGTGTCTGGTAAGTATAAATTAGTTCCAATAACGATATAAATATTCAGTTGTAAGATTATAATCGTTATTGTTCGCAGGAATGTGGAATAATCGTTATTATCCATTAACCACGGTTCTGACTACATCCAGTAGATCGGCTGCTCATGATATGCTGGTCAGCGGCGATGCAGAAGGCTACCTGAGACTGTTCAGATACCCGTGCACCAGTGCGAAGGCTGAGTACGTTGAGGAAAAAGTGTACAGTTCCTTGGTGGCCTGTGCCAGGTTCCTTTACAACGATCAGAACGTGGTCACTGTCGGTGGAACTGATGCTGCGCTAATGCTATGGGAACTCGTTGACGAGTAGACAGAAGATTTGCCATAGATTTTCTCGATATTTTTCCATTTTACCCAAGGTCTAGCTCCGGACCGTTTGCCCGTTTAATCTCGAAGAGATTCCGACGATTTACTTTGTCATTGAACTTTTTTTAATACCAAACGCAGGGAACGTTTATCATTTTATACTGGATATACTGTTCAATAATCCGGTATTTGTTCATCGACGAAAGGACCCTGAGAGAAAACATTGTAGCGATTTTTACGATTCGATTTGATTCGGTTACTTTTGGTGCAGGAATCTGTGGAAGATTTATTAGCGACTATAATGTCGGTTCATTGTCATCCTACTTTCACGATTCCTTTTATCGGGAGCCATAAATGCTTGTCGCTGATAAAACCGAGTCGAAAAGTAATCACCGCTAGAAAATTGTTGTACCCTTACACCCGTGTCAGTGAATCGTTTCAAGGACGAATACAACACATTTTTAACGTTTTAAATACCAGTTTCGTACCGTAACGATGCGATCGGTATCGCTCCCTCCAACCCTGAAGGTTGTCGCATATAAAATGCAATCTTTTTCGAGCACGTTTTGATTAATGAACATTATTTTTAACGAGGATACAGCTGACGAAGGTTCTATGAATAAATCAGTCATTTCATATGCAACAACTTAATAGTTTCATACTAATCAGGGCGATCACTGCTTTCGACGAAGGAAAGATATGATCCGGTTAATGAAGATCGCAGGGAAACATTTATGACTATTATGAAACTGTGGAACTTTAGCCATAGAAATGAGCGCGCAGTGCAAAGATCTATCTTCCCTTCTATCGATTGTTTTGTCATTATTGTCGCTATAATTTCTTGTACAGTCGCGTGCAGTAGTGCGCTTTCTTTTTGGGATAAGAGGCAGTGTAACTTCCTACATCTCATCGGTTTCACCGTTTACATTGAAATATTCAGAAATTTAGTAAGATTTGGCTAATCTAATTCCCGTTCCTAATTCCCATAGCCGAGATTTCATATTCTCCTCGACTTCCAAAATGTACAGAAACCCCCGAGCCTTCCCCCTCCCATGAGAAGGTATCTTTGCACGCGACTGTCCATGTTTAGCGATAACCAACGGCGTACGATAAACGTTATCACGCTATAACGATGCAGTACACATTAAAGGCGTAATGAAAACGATACACGTAGACACATTATTAAATGTGTACTCGTAGAAATAATTAAAATAAAATGAAACAATGTGCGCACGTTCGGGAGCGTGCTATCGGGGTGCTGGCGCCCCTTTGTAGATGATAAGTAACATAGATTTAAAATGAAAACCAAGAGGACGAGAAATGTTTCCAATTAACACGCACTCTTGTACGGGAACCGACGAGGTCGACTTGTTCTTTCTTCATTGTTTCGAAGATTTTTAGAGATAATACGTATAATGCTGTTGCGGGTCAACGCGCATTCCTCTCTCTCCGTCGATCCTTCCCTTGTTTCACACTGATAATTTCTAGAAGAAAAAGAAAAAAAACATAGAGATTATACAGAAAGTTTCAACGATATTATAAATATCTATATATACGTATATAATACATATACATATAGCAAGTAGATGCAAATGATAACACGAGGATCTCTAACATGTTTAGCAAAACTACACACGGGATCGTCACTGCCATGGCATCGAGTTCAAAATTTGTTTCATAGTCTGTGGGATGTGTTAGAAAATTAATTTCTTATCAAGTTTTGGAACGACATGAAGCAAATTTAGTAAAATAATACTTAAGCTATCTATGTTAAATAATAATAATAAAAAATAATTTTAAAAAAACAAAAAAAAAAGACATTACTTTATAGGATACAATTTTTGTAAACATCTGTAGATGGTAAATGGATCCGTATCTTATGAAGCATCATCTAAAATATATCTAGTACACCATAATCGCAGGCAGAAGTAAATTTTGGTGTTCGATGCGCCCTGAAACAAAAACGAGAAAGGATTCAAACGATCCCACGAATGTTTAGCATGGAAAAATCAGTGTAGAAAGGCTATCTTAATACAATAAATTCTGCACGTTAGATAAACGATGATGTATTATTATAAATATTAATGATTCAAAGACAAAGGATACCCATCTGGTGACTCAAAGCGATTCTTTATTATTAATCTGATATCTTACACTATGAGTGTTCCTGGTAAGCGTCTAAGTGGTTCATTTTGTTTCTCATCATCTCAAACACAACATGGAAAAGTGATTGCGCCCGGTTTTTATTTTTGTGCTGATTTATTGTCGCATCGCTCTTCAACGGTCACGTTTCCCTTCTCCTCGAACATTTCTAGGCTCTTTTTTAACATATTACACAGAAACGATCGAGGACAATGTTGGAACAAATTCTTGCTCGAAATTTTCATGCGCAGAAGTATAAAGAAACAGTGTTTGATCGCAGGGACAAAAAGAACATTCGGGACAAGTGATAAAAAATAAACGTTATCATTAATTGTGCACATTGGTAAGTTGGTCACGGTTACATCTAAAGAAAAACCAATTAACTCAAAGCGTCAAAGACGAAACAATTTTCTTATCGCGTTCTTCTTTTTTTTTTTTTCTCTTAGCCAAGTTTCGCTTCGTAACGATTTATCAATTGTTTCGTCAGCGTTCAAGTAACGGTACAAAACACTAATCAAAAGATACGCATAGATAATGAGCGCATGAAACATTTCAATCGAACAGAAATGTTGTTTCAGAGCGTGCGAGAAAGTTCACCGGATCAAGAACAACGTTCTTCGGTTTCTTTTTTTCTTTTCTTCTCTTCGTTTTCTTTCGCTCGAGTAAGAAGTGACATTTTGCGTAAGAATAACTCCATTCTTCCTCGATGATCATACGGACTAGATTTAAATTAGAAGGAGGAAAGCCGCCTGACCATGCACGTGTGCTTGGAAGCTTTCGTCACTTTTCCTTTCTTTTTCACCTATCATTGCCGAGGAACTTTTCTTTCCTTATTCTTTTGTACATTGAAAAATCCTCGGTGTACGTGTGTGTTTTGTTGTGTGTCAACTTACGTGTAACGAGTGACGCTCAACGATAATAATAATACTTTCGTCTACTCCGATCGGTCCGTGTTCTATCAACAAATTCGAAGATCTCGGCATTATATAAATAAATAACAATTATATGAAACAATACTTCTCTAAAATTACAGAAATTTACAAGTCCTACAGTCTCTAAGGTTTCCCAATCGACGTTTACATTTTCCCGCCACGTTTCCTTTCTTTCTATCTCTGATGCTGATCCACTCTCATCTCCACTCATACGCTTTTTCGTTCTTTCTTTCTTTCTTTCTTTCTTTCTCTGTATAATACGATGGAATTATTTGAAGATTCTTGGAAAGGGCCAACTTTGGTGAACAATTGAAATGGTTCTTGAAATCCTTCTGACGGGTGTGGGGTAATAAATAGCACCACGTCGCATTTAGAAAATCCGACTTCGGAAGATAATAAATACTGCGTGAAATTGTCAGGCCGAAATTCAATACTCCGATATAATTCTTACGTATCCATTTCTGAAACACAACACTGGATACGTCTCTACACATTTCTCTCTCGCACACTCTTTTCCTGCAACCAAAAGTAAACGAACGTAAACAAAAGTAGTAAATTAAAAAAAAAAAAAAAGAATTAATAGGTTTTGTAGATTGTTAACACGTTGACTGGCATAGTTGAAGTAGCCATTATTACACTGAGGGCACTTATCAGCTATCATTATTATAAAAAATTCATTTGGTTCCTTTTTATTAATGCTATCACATTATTTTAAAATACTATCTGTATCTATTCCCAATTACTAATTAGTCGTTTTAATAGTGCTGAGAATTTCCCCTCTATTTCACACCATGGCAATCAACGTGTTAAGATATTGTCTTTTGACTTCGAAGAACACTGTCCGCAGTTCCAAAGTAAACATTCAACAATAAAGAAGCAGACAATGTTCCTACCAATCTATCGATACAATTAATATAATATTATTAATAATAATAATAATAATAATAATATTCATAATCCTCATTTCTTCCTCTCATTCTCTCTCATTCTGTTCTAGCATAAGTTTCGAAGAGAAACTGTCGGTGCTAATTGTCCTGTTTTATTTGTTCTCTTTGTACAAAGGTAAAACACGAAGCATCGAACAGTTTTGTGTCCCGAAACACAACCTGTACGTGTCTTTTCACCACACATTCTTCTTTCTGTTTCTTTGCCATTTCGTGTGTTCCTTTCTTTTTTTTTTTACAGCATCGTCGAAAGACATTGTAAAGTCAGTCTTTGGTCGACTAACCCGCTAGAATGTTTGAAAACGTGCTCAGATAATACAGCAGAATGCAAAACGCTTTTATTTAGGCACGTACTTAGAATTTGTTTCGTCCATCCACCGTCGTACACGTTCGCTTCGCTCCTTCGTTTCTTGTCTCTGCAAGCGTTCAGGCACAGTTCACATATACACGTTATCACATTCGTACAAATCTATTATACGTAAAGCGATACAATTTCTGTTGTGTACAGTGCTTTTATTTATTATTTTTCATTTATCATCCTTCTTGAGTCTCTTTAAATAATACGCTTGCCAGTCTCCCTTCGTATTCGAGATTGAATTTCAGACGCGCCGATGCTAATTACAATACACTGAAACTCTCACCAGGTATCTCTACAAAGAACTCGAATTAGAAATGTTTAGAAAAAAAAAGGAAAAGCAAAATGTAAAGAAAAGATAAAACACGAATGGAAATCGAGCAATGGGACTACACGCTAATGATTATTGAAATCTAAAAACGAATTAGCAGTCTATTCATCTTATTTGTCTAAATTGCTGTGTTGCATCGATACCGCGAACAACCATGTAATTGCTGCTGAGATTTCTAAACGATTCTGCTTGGAATAGTGGAAAGACAACCAATTCCGTTCAATGTCCTTCTTCAAGATGTTAAGAAAAAAAAAAAAGAAAAAAAAATGGAAAGACGAATAACAAAGGAAAGGTCGGACAAGCAAATGGATATCCAGACAGCCCGAGTTTGTATTGGTAGCACCACTCATTTTCTACGCAGAAGACGTCGAAAGTACCGATTTACGTGTTGTCTGGGATCAATTCGCAATGTTGCGTCTCTGTTTGCTCCTTTATACACGGACTCCTGGATCCATTTTCTTCATGTCCCTCTGCTGTCCTCGAGTCTTCTCCGTTTTCTGTGCAATCCTTAGCTGTCTGTACTTCTCCATTGATATCCTTATTTTCCTTTAAATGAATGCTTGATGTTTCATCATTCACTGATTGAATGTTTGATTCATGGTCACTTTTGCTCTCACTGATATTTATAGAAACCGATCCCCGTGATGTTTTATCATTCTGAATTTCTACTGTCCTTTGATTGTCCTTTACATCAGACGTTTCATCCTGCACTTTCGACCTTTTTACACCTACCGTGCACGTGTTGTCCACCGCCACGTCGATGTTCCGTTTTCTGGACGTATGATTTTCAGTCGACGATTCATTGCTTTGACGTGCAATTTCTGAAACAGTTGTAGCGGTCGTTACGTTTGATTCCAGTTGATTTTCGACCTCTGTTTTATCGTTCTCCATGTTAACGTCCAGGTAACACATCTTCGAAGCGTCAGGTGGTTGATTGTCGCTATTATGACCAGGTGTATCGTCGTAACAGGGCGTCGAACTGGGAGCATAAACATTTTCCAGTTGATCGTATTGACTCATGGACTCGTTACTTTGTTGACTGATCTCCGACAAGTTTCCTTGTTTTACTTCCTCTTTCTTGAACAGCTCTTTCTCGTATTCTTTTCGTTCAAATTCCCTCGTCTTCTCGTCTATCCGATCTTGCCGCTTGGATGAGTTTAAGATCGAATTATCCGGAGATTCTTGAAAAGGGCCAGCTTTGGTGAACAATTGAATCGGTCGTTGAAATCCTTTCGACGGATGTGGAGGAATCGACAGAACCTCGCATTTAGAAAATCCGACTTCGGGCGATAATAAATACTGCGTGAAATTGTGGGGTCGAAATTCGATACTTCGATAATTTTTGTATATCCGTTCCTGCAACACAGCATTGAATATTTTAAAATTATACAATTAAACGGACATTTCAGAAAGAGAATTTTTTCAATACTTACTGTAAGATTCTTTTTCTTTGTGTAACTACTCCAACCTTGCGGTTCTAATATTAAAACTCCACCCGGTCGTAATTGTGCATACATGCGTTTGAAAGCCTGCTTTAAACCTGCGTCTCCAAAATTTAAATGAATCCATTTAGTTAAAGACAAACAGAGAATCGTATGAAACTGTGGTTGCTCCGTACATAGTAGAGTATCATCCTCGAGCACGTAGTTACCCTAAAAATAAATACATTTAGACATCTTAAAATTGAAATGATTAATATAGTTTATTTAATTTTTCGGTCTGATAGAATACCTGCACGAACGTGACATTATAAGGAAAACCTTTATGACTTTTATTCTTTGTAAAACCTGGAATATCAACCGGACCGTAATTGATTGGCATAGATATCGGGAAGAAATTTACATCCTGATGATCATTGTTTTCGTTCCTGGCTGGAGACTGTACACAATTAACATAGTGTTTGATATTTTTTCTAGCAATATTGATGAGTGTTCGATCAATATCAATACCAGTTACACTTTTGGCTGAAAAATCTCGAGCAACAGAAAGGGTAATGTGACCAATGTTGCAACCAATATCAAGTACATCTTTCCCGACGAATAAATATTTGCGTTGTGCAAATATTGTCAGTCTTGTGTCCACTTCGTGATAAGAGTTACGATACCCATAGTACCTATTGTAGTTGCCGTATTGGTAATGTGCATCCTTCTCTCTAAAGTTTGGCATTGTTTGTTTCTTTTTCTTATCTTGACTCGGCCGATGCTGAGGTCTGGATTTCCATGCTCCAGGTTGAGGAATAACAGGGCTAACAATTTTATCTTTAGTATCCACCTTCCTTAATCTTTTATCCTTAGGTTCTTCTAAACCCTTTAAACGTAATTTATTTTTGTCTTTCTGTGGACTCTCTGGTTTAGATTCCTTAGGCTGATTGGGTGGAGGTGAATTTAACGGTGCCTGTTGTTGTTCTGTCTCCATACTTTCAGATACACCTTGTTCCATGGGTTCTGTAACATCAATTGTATCAGCCTCTTTAGATGTGGTTTCAGCTGATTCGCTTACATCATCTTTTCCAGAACCTGAAGATGCTCGTTTTTTCTTCCTGTTTCTGCGTTTAGAACCTTTCTTTGTTGGAGATATAAGTTGTTTCTCATATTCATCATTATCATTATCGTTACAATTATTTAAATTCAAAGGATCACAGATATTTGGTGGTATTATCACTTCGATAACCTCCTTTTTATGCTTAGGCGTTGGTAAAGGGCTAGACTTAGGTGTAACTGCATTCATAGCTCTATTTATTTCTTCATCTTGCATACTATTTAAATTTAACGGATCACATATGTTGCCACCAAGTAAAAATTTTGTCGGTGGAATAATCACACCCTCCTTCTTTCTACGCTTATACGGTGGAAAAAATTTACCATTGCTGGTGAAACTTTGCAAACGTTTTCTTCCAAATTTAAAATGCCGACTATCTTCATGCTTGTGCTTTTTATGAGATGGATTAAAAGTCTTTCTTGACTTTTCATTTTCTTTCTTAGTAATGTGACCCATTTTGGAGGAGCGATCAACTTGTGCTGATGACATCTTGTGAACTCTAAAAATGAAAAAAAAAAGAAAAAAATTAAGACAATTAAGAATATAATTGAAGACTACAAAATGAGCATAACAAATTAACTTACATCATGTAATATTACAAAAATTACATGTTATATTCGTTAAACGCGACATACGTAAATTGTACATACGGAATGAAAATCTCAGAAGTAAAATTTTGAGTTAAACCGTTACAGAAAGGGTCGTTTCGTTCCATTTTAAAGTTAACTGACTGTATTGGACACTTCAGGAAGGTTTTAAATCAATTATAAAATCCGGTGTATAAATATTTATCTACATTATATTCGTAATTTTAAGGATGATATTCTTCGGCAAGTAAAGTAATCATTCGTCCCGCGAAACGTTCGTAATCACAAATGTTCAACTTGCTGCGTAAATTTATCATTCCCGCGATCGCGCATGCGCAGATTATGGTTTATGCGTTCTGTAAACGGATGGTCGCCAATACTTCGAGACTTCGTTCTCTATTTCTTCTCTTAAATGCCACATTATGTCCATAAACTTACCTTTAAACGTTTTGGATACGATTTCGGTTTCACCTCGACGTACTTTTTGCTCTCATTAAGCACAAAAATACACGTTTTCCCCGAGAAATGTACTACACCCAGCTCCAAACCGTCGTTGTGCGCCCATCAACGATGGCGAATAGCTGCTTTGGTTGCTTTGCTTAAACTCCATTTTCTATGTGGGTACCCGAACGAGCCGAACACAACTTCGGGAATTTTCGGTGGTGAAACAATTTGATCGGATAGAAACAGTTTTCCGAATACTTAAAATACATGAAATTGCTTTAAAATTGCAGAAAATTATGTAATAAGATTATTTAAATGGTCTAAAAGTAATTTATAGGGTTATAACGTTTATCAAACGTTATACATATTTCAATTTATCCTGTTCTTTGTGCACATTTTAATATGTTATTCATACACATAATATCAAATCTTAAAAATAACGAATGTTTTGTACACACAAAAATAACAACGAAATTTAATTTTATAGTTAGTTTGTAACTGCCATATTTTTGAAAAACTGCGCGCGACGAAATTCACTCCACCAACTGTAGCGTTGGCGGCAATTGTAAAATTTTACAAAAATAAAATCAACCTTTACCCTTAATTATTCCTCATTCTTACGAATGTACGAGTAATTTAAAGGCGAATTTGAAATCATCTAATATTATTTATGAAGCAGATTCTTGAGATAGAAATTTAAACAAGCCACTTTATACATTTGTCATTTGTTATAAAATTTACAAGCAATTGGTTCGTTATTTTACACAAATACCGTGCAAGACGTCGTGCGAACCCCACTATAAAGGCGGCGGGTTTCTCGTTCACTCGTAATTTTAGTCATCCGCGAACGCGATTTTTTTTCTGATAAATTACGTTATTCTCACCTTCGAGATACGTCGTTAAATTTATTCACTTGTACAGTGTTCTCTTCCGTGACGCAGTTAAATAATAATTAGGTGTTCTCTCTTTCTACGTTACTTCGATCAAGCAGCAACATATTTAAAACAATATGCAGCGCAAAAATTTTCTATTTGAACGATCGGATTTGGATCAGCCAACTTCCACGGTATTGTTCAAAAAATGGGAATTCGAAAAAGAAGAATTTTCCACCTCGTCGACAAATTTGTTGTCACAGGTACTCTTGACTAATAAATCACTTAAAAACAAAAAAATAGGTTCAGATTTACGTCTAATTTTTTTGCAGTTCAATTTATCTCGTACGCTTGGTGAGAACACGAATATCTTGCCTTTTTATACAACGCCACCGATGGAAATGAAAATTGCATCAATGCCAAAAGCGCCGATCAAACAGAAAAAACTTCCTCGAAAGGGAGATTTAAAGCCAAAAAAGTTACAGTATTCAGACGAAGAATCAGAAGTTTCTACCGCCGTGGATAGCGGTATAAACTTCGAGTCCATACACTCAAACAACACACTATTCTCCAAACAACATACCGCGAAATACAATAGATTTGATTCTTCTCAAAAATGTACACGCAGATTGCGGCCTATGTTAGATAAAATTAAGGGGCAAACGAACGATAAAGAAAACGATAAAAATATTGTAAATCATAGATCTACAAATACACTAAACAGCAGAAATAATTTAGGACAAACGTCATCCGTAGGTAGGTGTATAACAAATGATACGAAGTACACACTTGCATTGAAAACAAAAAACATAAATGTTAAAGAAAAATTAACTCATTTTCGTCTGTAACAGTATAAGGTAGCTGTTAATTTAATTGTATAAGTATGTTATCATTAAGGAAAAATTGTAATAGAATTGTATGATATAATACTATTTTATAAGGTGATAGATTTATAATGAGTAAAATTAATGCAAACTTAAAATTAATCAAACATTTTATTTAATGTTATTGGGTTACTCAGAGATTTTATTTGTTCTTCAGTATTTAATTCAAATACTAAAATGTTTTCTGATCATAATGATAATTATGACTGGAAAGACAAACTATATTCGCTACAACCCCAAAGAGATATTGGTCTATGGGTCCAATGCTGTAGAAAGGAATGTCACAAGTTTAGATACGTTGATAACTACCATGATCCAACAGATGTACCCAAAAAATGGTTCTGTGAAATGAATTCTGGTATATAAATTCTTATAAAATTTTATTCATAATCTTGGACATACAAATTTAGTATTACGTATCTTATTTTACAGACAAGTCAATAGCATCTTGTAATATACCAGAACAACCTATATCACCTGCTGATAAATCTGATTTGATTGAAAATACTTATAATGCAGGTAGCATTGTTTGGGCACATATTTCTGGTTTTCCTTGGTGGCCTGGAATAGTTAATGATAACCCTGACACATTCGCATACTATGAATTACAGAAAAAATCAATTAAACCTGTAATTATTTGACATTTTTTTGTTACTATTTATAATTTTATATACTAAACAAAATATCTTTGATTTATAGGTAAGATATTATGTTACATTTTTTAACGAAGAACAGCTTGATGCTGCTTGGGTTCATAAAAAAAATATTAAACCATTAGCATCACATAAATATAGCCAAGTTATTAAAAAGGTACTGATTTTTGTTTCAATTAATTCTCTTACTGTTAATATAAATAACAACCACTTTTATTGCAGACAAAGTATTTTGGAATAGAATATGAACAACCTTTAAAAAAAGCATATCAAATAGCTTTAAATGCTCTTCCATTATCAATTCTACAGAGACTGAGAAAATATAGTTTCCTGGCACAATATGAAAAATTTTATGACACAAATAATAATGTTAATAGACCTATTACCCAAACCTCTGAAATGGAAATAGTAGAAAATTCAGATGATGAGAGACAACATTCAAATTCGAGTCAACACATTACATTAAAGGAGTTTTATTTAAGCACACGTAAAAACCAAATTTCAAAACAATTTCTGTCATAAATAACAAATAAGATATTTTCTTATAAAACAATAACGAATCAGAACTCATTTCACTCATATTAAATATTATTTAGTCTACTTGTTTTCATAAAGAAATTATGTAAAAATAATGTATAATTTTATGTTTATAAATTTCTGTAATTCACATGTAATTCAATACATAAACATATATGTAATAATTAAATTGTATATTTATTACGTATTATATCAATGCAGTGACTACAGATCCAACAACATTGGACATGCTTTTGTTTTCAAGGGGTCTTGAGGTTATGCTTTGAGAATGGGCGCTATCTGCTCTATCCTAACCGGCAATACCGACGTCACTCAAACCGCCATTTTGTCAGCCATTTTGTTGCGCGCTCTATGATTTAGAAGGATAATCTTGAGAACTCTACATGACCGACTTGATTAGCGATTAAATAGTTACCTATAGAGTATTGCTTACAGCCCTCGTTAATTCGTCAATTAACAATGTGAGTGCAGCACTTAACTGTAACTCTGTGGTTCGCCATAATTGACCTGAAACTGTTAAAGAATTTCAAAACTACTTTACAAACTATTTATATTCCCGTGAATGTTATACTTGTAATCCATACATTGATGTTATTGTCGAAGTTTCGAAGGGTTTCCTCTGTAAATAACTTAAAATCACCCAAAAAAGGCAACGAGGAAAATATAAAATATATTCTTGTCCTTAACGCAATTGATGTGGTAGATAATTAACATTTTCTTGAATGTCACAGTATCCTTCCTCTATTTTAAGTATGTACAAAGGTTATCGTTGCGTCTTGCTTAGCCGAGATGATAAAATCAGAACCACTGTTGAATATCTATTTTACAGGATGTAAAATAGAAATTGTACTCTGTCCAGTACACACATTTATTTTTTCCTCGACCTCATGCACCGATAATGTACTTTTATATTCATATATGAAGTTGGCAATGTCGTATCAGCTACTGTACGAATATCGTTATGACCATTTAATTGTTTTTCAAGGTAAAACATTTTGACCAGGATAAATGAATTTAGGTTAATTGTGAAATTGACGATATGTATATCATTGATTATAGATACATCGGTAACATCGTAATATCCGTTGAAACATTCCTTGGAAGATAATATATAATTAATCCCTCGTCGTTCTTCAAACAAGCAGTTTCAACGATGGATCGCATCACGAATTAATTAAGACCACTTGTCAACACCGATTGTTAATGCAAATATCCCTCTGCAAAGAATCATCGCGACATAAATGAATTCCTGCGGATCATCGTTGGACAGCTGTGCCATGGTAATTAAAATGAAAATGTTCGTCGACGATGAAGCTGGTTACCAACCGGGTGCCGTGACGATTCTTCGACGATGTCGCCAGTTGATTAGAAACGTTTTCTCGAACGGAAATCGAACATACATAAATACGACTGTAAATCGACAATGTTAATGTGGCGCAAAGTTCGGCGGGGTCGACGGGTCAACGTGACGTCAGCGGATACGGAGACCCTCGACAACGTGGTGAACTGCAACAATATTTGCGTGTAAAGTATTTCGAGTTTGCATGCGATACATTCGTGGCTAAGTATGTCGACTTCCAACGATGTTAATAAGAAAGTTTCTTCTTTCTCTAATTTAGAAAATTTTCAAAAAATATCTTCGAGACCAATACCGAGGTAGCGTTATTGGTACGGTGAAGATATTATTTTAAAAGATACATTTATCGAACATTTTCGGTTCTCTATCTTCGAGTAATCCGAAGAAAACATTCTTTCTCCAGTGTAAAGTTACGTTCGGTGTATTTTTTGTCCGTTTCAGCTGGTCGAGAGAGGAGAAGAAATGCGAAAGATGGAACAACATAAATTCGAATGGACGGTCGTGAAGCCTGACGGTTCTTTCGATGACCCGTGGTCCACTCTCTGATCCTTTGCAGTTAACACTCCCTCCCGTTGGCTTTGGAAAGAAAGGAAAGAAAAAAACAAAAAAACGATAACCCCAGATACCGTAGTGGCCACATACGTGCTCGTTATCGTTCTCGTAATAGTCGGACGATCGTGTTGCTAACCGAGGTACTCGGGTTATCTGGCTTGTTTGTCCTTCGCCACAATTTCGTTACGTTTCTTCGTGCTTTTCCTCGCTTGTTCTTTCGTCAGGATATCACGTTAATTCGCGACCGCGATGCCGATAATTATTAGTCATTTCCGTTCTTACCGGTTGAGCAACGAATAAAGGTTTAGATTTTATCATGGCGCCAACGTTCTTTTGCGACCTCGAGGAATTCGTTAACGATTTTGTAGCGAAGATTATAACGTATGATCGATAGATCTTTCAACTAGAGATTATGCGCAAAGGAAACTATTTCGGTGAATTTCGTGTAACAGTGGACAAGGAGGGGGTGTCGTATATATTTTTAATGCACCCTACGTGGCTGCGCCATTGCCACGAGAAATAACTGGGAAAGCGTTGAACCCGACACGTGGAAATTCTATTTCTTTTAGTATTCCTTAATCGCGTCTCGGCTGCTTTTCGGCCATCATTTCGGCCGAGAAACGAAATCCTCGACCGGTGATTACCGCTAGAGTGTGTCACTTGTTAACAAGTACCGATAAGAATGCAAAATACTTAAGTAGAATGTAATCAGAGCAGCAATTTACTCGAACAAGTAACAACTCACGTGACAATATCCAAGTAGCAACATTTCGCATGGAATTTATCGATGAACCGTTTAAATCAACTCCACTGATGATCAATGCAATAGGATAGCGCGCTGCTGGGTTATATTAATTACTGTTAATGAGCGAAACGTTGGATTCAGGATTATACTTGTAAAGGAGACATTTATTGGTCATAAAAGGCATATTGGCTGTATCTTGAAACTCGAAGAGGACAGAGTCAGATGGTTTGATGGCAGCACGTTTAGGAACCACCGTACAATGGGGGCGTACGTCGTTGACAAACATGGGAGCGGCGTATTGGGTCGATGGTTAAAAAAAAAAAAAAGAAAAATGGTAGAACGGGAACCGAGATATAGAGAGTGAATATACCCTGACTCGACGACCTTTCTACCTACGGTTGCATGTATTTCACTCGCTTTATACCTAGGCGTGGCCTGTATGTGTTCCCTTGCCTCTGAACTATCTGGCTTCCGGTATAATCGTGCAGGAAAACACGGGGATAGAAGAATTAACATTGGATTAATGCAAAGGCTTGTTTCTAAGAGGTAAATTGACCCTTGAGGGAATTTCGTCTAGAGGATGATTCATAGCCTCGAAAAATATTCCACTTTCCATCGATAATCGGTAATAGGTTTCAAAGTAAAAGCTTTCGCTGGCCAAACGAGAGTTTAACGAGTAGCCAGGAATGCGACGAGCAACTGCAATGGAGCCTCCAACGAAAGTTACGCCGCGTCGAGCGTTCCGCGAGACGTCGGTTTACAAAGCGGCTCCCACAAGTATTCGCCCACTTACTATGCTGACAGACATTGAATTATATCCTTAATTAGCTTCACGACGAAGCAACAAACGTTACAGAAATACTGGGATACGATTTATTGTATAGTATTCATTAAAAGTACTTGTCCAATGTAGATAATCGAGTACTTTGGTATCTATTTCTATACTGTATTTTCTTTAATACATAACTGGGGTACTAGACCAGGTTACCCGCATAAAGGATTTGGGATATGTTAATTTATTTTTTATTTTATACAGGCTGTTATCAGATATAGAGGGTGTATAATGATAGAGGGTCGATTGGACGTTCAATTGAGAGGAGCCGTTGGAGAAGCGTGGAAATTATCGAGTTGGCCAGGATCGCTTTTGCATAATTTCACGGTCTCTGGTTTCGCGGCCATTGCAATAAGAATCCGTGGCAGCGTGTTGCTCTTAGCGATACGTTCCTAAACGCGTGTCTAAAAACGCGCCCTGTAAAGTCCACCTCTAAATGTGACTTTAACGAGGCAGCATGAGGAACGAGAGGAGAACGGGGAACGACCTGTGCGGATTCGGGCGCGGTCAATGCCGTCTAGATGCTCGCTATTACTATCCGGACTGCCTGGTATTTTTGTCATGGCCTACTAATACACTCCGCAAATTCTCGCCCTACCACCAGCCACTGTTCGACGATGACGTGGCCGAGGAAATATACCGATCGTGAGTCCCGTGTCACTGGCCGTGATGACCAATTTCTTTCCTTTTTATTCGTTGAAAACGAGCCAGCCAAGCCCGACGGCGCATCCTCGCGCCGCAACTTTCAAAAAGGAAGATACCACGCCGCTGGTTACTGTTCGATTTAGGTTGCTGGTTAGCCCATTAGTCGAGGCTCGAATTCTCTCGTCAGCTAAATCTTTTAGAAATTCAAAAGCGAAACGGAATTTTCGAATAGAAATTTCTAAGTGGAAAGAATATACGTTAGGGACGAAGGTTATCGATATATTTATTTCGTTCTTCCTTCGAAGGACATTGAATTTTCTAGCGCCGAGTAGCGAGGAAAGCGGCATACTAATGCGTTTAGTGGCCATCCCGAGAACACACAATGGACGCAGCTAAATATTCAAAACAGTTCAACCTTCCATATATTCATGACCATCATCCTTAGGGAGGAAAGAAAGGAAAATAGATGCATTTGCATTTGAAAGACGAACGATTTGTGGGTCAGGAAGCTTTCAATACCCTGTTTCCATGAAACGTGCAGTGACCGTCTCCAGTTTTAAGAAAACTGCAGTTAACTCTAAGGATATTCTCTATAAGCGACACTGAAATGTTAGATTAATTAGATTAATTTAAACAATTAATTATCTTATTATTTCTAACATTGTTTTATAAAAAAAGACGTATAACACAGTTTCTGAGATTTTTTCGTTTGAATGAAAAAAGGAGTTATCTACTTTCAGTCTCGTAGTGGTAACAAGTTTTCCATCCGTGTTTCATCACGCTCACAAGCTCAAAGACGAAACGAGTCGATGATGCAACATCGGACATATTCGTCCGATTTCATCGAGCATATTATCTGTTCGACTTATTATCGATAGAGCGCCTCTCGGCCTATTTCGTAAGCAACGTCGGGAGCGCTAGTTGTAAAGGAGATAAAATTTTTTGAATTTCGGCTACGAAGAAAACAAAGGGTCGTTGGGTCGTTCTTCAACGATAAGATATTACCCAGGCGGAATATATGTACGTGCACCAGTTACGTAAATGGGTACACCAGTAAACGAGAGATGAGATTTCATCCAACGACATCCAAGTACATACATAGAAACGATGTAAATCATCGTTGCAACGGATCGAACGTTCTGCTGGAACGCGTATCGTGTCCGGCAATCGAGGCAGATAAAGATGTGTCGTAATCCGCCTGGCCACGAGACACGGATCGAACAGACTTCTTCTCCAATCTATTCTCTCCCTGTTTTATTTCTTCCAAATATCAAATGATGCATAATGGGGTTCACAAGGTAAAAAAGATAAATGCCGCGCAGCGGTTCTGTAACGAAGCGTTATCAAATGTGCGCGCCTTGAACTCGGTGACGAAGCATTCTGTCGCATGACATCGTAAAATACAGCGATACGCGTGTATTTGCAACTGTTACGTTCCCTACGATAACCGACGACGAAATATATTTGCAAGACACTTAAGAGATTTATGACAATTTTCAGAAGCTACAAGAAATCTTAAAGCAACGTGTATTTTTTTTTTTCAGTAGATAGATATTATTTTATGTAGAAGAAGCAATATACCTTGCCGCTTCTGTAGGTATACAATTAATTAAGAGAATACGGTAGCGATGTGCAAATGCAGTCATCGTCCGTGCTCACCACCTGCATCATTCACGGGGTGCGTTCGGCCACATCCCCGCTCCTGGTATCGCACGAACCCCTAACCCCACCGCGTTTCCGTCGCTCGGTGGAACGAACGCAGTCTCACGCACGTCGCGTTACCCCCACCATCAGTCGGCGCGATGGAAATGCGCAACCGTGACTGGCGAACTTCTCGCCAGCCTCCGCGCAGCTCAGTTCGCGTCGCTCGTTCCAGTAGTATGGATGGTTGTTCGTGCTTGGTCGTTCGCGTCCGGTCGTTCAAGTTCGTCTCGTTCCGTGTTCCGACGATCGTACGGTTGGCGTAACGGACTTGTTTCAACTTCAGTCGTCGTTTTGATTTCGTGACGAGTAGTTGATACACGCGTAATCGCGATCGAAACTTCGACGGGAAGGGAGAAGAAACACGCCTCGACGGTGAAGCCGGTTCGCTTGCATCCTCTCGCATACACGTTGGCGAAAAAGGAAGGAAGTCCTACCCCTCGGTATACACGTCTCCCATCGTCCCCACTCCTTCGGTTCTTCGCTTTTTATTCGATTCGAAGCCTCTTTTCTCCACCTTCCCAACGTCTCCTACTCTTTCACGCTTGTTCTCGATCGTGTGCCATGCTTCCGGCTGACAGTGCGGTTTTCGGGCCTGCGCGACTCGGGAATACATCCTTCCTTCTCCGGTGCGATTCTCAGTGATCTGCCAATCTCCTGGTTTTCTATTTTTCTGACCACCCCGGCTTGCATAAAGGAAGGCGGCGTCGAGTCATCGTGCACTTTGCTCGAGAATGCGTCACGTTTCGTATCTTGGACTAATGCACCGGTTCTTCCTGTCCTCCTCGTCGAGGAATCGATAGAAGAATCTACAGGACTTGGTCGTGAACGAGCTATGCCGAGAAATTCTGCCTAGAGAAACTACGGTCGGTGAGTGTGCAATTTTATTTGGAATTTTTTCCGCTTCTTATCCTGCATGCCAAGCTCACGTGGGTAATTAATTTACGTTTTTCAATGAGCAATTTTATTATGAATCGAAGTAATTAATAAGTAAATAATATCGATAAATAATTGTCGGTTTCGTTTGTCAATTATCGAACGTTTACGATTTATCAATAGTCACGTCGCGCTGGAACGATGGCTGTGGTTATGTAACCCGCGTAATTTGAACATGGACGCCACGTGCATAGACTTCCGTTACTATTTTTATTCCGTTTTCCTTTTACTTTGTTTTCTTTCTATTTTCCAAATTAGCATTGTAGATATTGTGTATTCCTTGTATTGCGTTAAAGTTAGAAAGTTACAAGAATTGCGCAGTACGATTACGGTAGTCCGTATCTTCACTTGAGAGTTTATCGAAAAACACGCGTACGCCGAGTCGAGTCGTCAAGTCTAATTGTACCAGAGGAACGATGGAAATGGGTAGGCGGGTGTCGTTGGACACGGACACGCCCATTGGTTGGGCTCATCGTCAACGGTACGTTTCGCGAAGCTTAATTAAATTAAACGCTTTGTAGTGGTTTTCTAAGGTCGCTCGGTGTCGCGCCATATTTGGCCGTCTGTGAAGAACGTTTTGCTCTCGGTGGATTCCCATCCCGATATTTTTTCCTCCGTTTCTCTCTTTCCCTCCCAATTATTCGAGGATGATCTGGCCTGGCTATTATTAGATTCGTTTCAGTTAGAATCAGCAGAGCAGGGGGGGGGTCATTATTGAGAGGGCTGTGTTTCGGAGTTGTATGTCACGTGACGACATTCTATCGGGCAACGTTTATCATTGTTTTTATTTTTTTTAAATAATTTTGGAAATTTAAAAATTTTTGATCATCGGTAACAAAAACAATTGTTGTCGCGGTTTTAGTATATTTAAATAAAGTTGCAAAATATTTCGTCGATTTATGAAATATGATTTGAACTACAATATTTCTGTACAGCTATATCGTTGACTGGGACTTTACGCCCTTGTCCTAGGGACTAAAGCGAACGTTCGACACCAGAGCGCGTTGCGTGTTGTATAGCAACGGCTGTACTTATGCAGAGTGTGCGCGCGAACGCGTGTGCGAATAGTCTGGCGCCAGCAGGTGCAGTTAAATATAGCTTATGCAACGTGCATCCTTTCTTTTCTTCTTTCTCCTCCTCTCCCCACCTTTCATCGAATAACATCGCGTAAACAAATTCCAATGAAAAAATGATATTTTTCCCCCATCGAGA